TAAGTAAGTAAGTAAGTAAGTAAGTAAGTAAGTAAGTAAGTAAGTAAGTAAGTAAGTAAGTAAGTAAGTAAGTAAGTAAGTAAGTAAGTAAGTAAGTAAGTAAGTAAGTAAGTAAGTAAGTAAGTAAGTAAGTAAGTAAGTAAGTAAGTAAGTAAGTAAGTAAGTAAGTAAGTAAGTAAGTAAGTAAGTAAGTAAGTAAGTAAGTAAGTAAGTAAGTAAGTAAGTAAGTAAGTAAGTAAGTAAGTAAGTAAGTAAGTAAGTAAGTAAGTAAGTAAGTAAGTAAGTAAGTAAGTAAGTAAGTAAGTAAGTAAGTAAGTAAGTAAGTAAGTAAGTAAGTAAGTAAGTAAGTAAGTAAGTAAGTAAGTAAGTAAGTAAGTAAGTAAGTAAGTAAGTAAGTAAGTAAGTAAGTAAGTAAGTAAGTAAGTAAGTAAGTAAGTAAGTAAGTAAGTAAGTAAGTAAGTAAGTAAGTAAGTAAGTAAGTAAGTAAGTAAGTAAGTAAGTAAGTAAGTAAGTAAGTAAGTAAGTAAGTAAGTAAGTAAGTAAGTAAGTAAGTAAGTAAGTAAGTAAGTAAGTAAGTAAGTAAGTAAGTAAGTAAGTAAGTAAGTAAGTAAGTAAGTAAGTAAGTAAGTAAGTAAGTAAGTAAGTAAGTAAGTAAGTAAGTAAGTAAGTAAGTAAGTAAGTAAGTAAGTAAGTAAGTAAGTAAGTAAGTAAGTAAGTAAGTAAGTAAAGTACCTAAATAAACCACATGCACACGCTGATCTCCATTGCTTGATCAGCTAATTTTTGCTAAAGTTCATTTTCTTATCTTTGTTACCGTTTCTTATTGTTTTTCAACTCAAAAAGAGTCAACAATTTCATTAATTTAACCTTATTTCGTTATTCAGGCCATAAACTTAGAATAACGGAATTAACTTCATTTTTACAGTACTATCATTTTCTAAAATTCAGTCGTTTGATTATTATGATATTTCTATATTATACATCATGGACTGACGTTTGTTAGAAATGTAAATCATTGAATCGGGATTAATTGGTTTAAAGTTCAAACTCTTGCGTAGAGACCTGAACGGTTGGCTATATTGTTTTGTTTATCTGAAAAGTCTCACTCTGAAACTAATCAGCTGTTCACTGCATATTGAGTTCCGCGATTTAGAGCATGAAAATCAAAGTAATCTATTGAATGATATTCGCTAAAAACGCTCTAATGTTGGTTGATAACCTATCTCTTCCTTGTGTAGTATTAACGTTTAATACTGTTATCTCTGTGGTTCATTATAACTAACATCTAGTGTTACCATTTTTAAAAATCTGTATCGGGTTTATAAACCTGAACACGATAACTGAGTTACTCTTTCTCCCTCTATTAATGACAACCCAAATGGCTTTGTTGATTGATATATCTTTAAAATTTAGTGTAGTGATGGTTTAATGTTTGAAGTAGTCAGCTTCCAACCACTGAGCTCCACGTTTAAACATCATACGATTGCACTTTTATTTTTCCGTTCATAATATAAACGAAATAAATATTTACGTTAGGATATGTATCTGTACAACTATTATTAACTTCAGATCATGCAAATAAGCTATTGCAAATCCTCATGATATATTGTCCTTTCTTTTGGGTATTGTTATTATAAAAATCACACGTAAGTTTTTTCTTCACTTCTACATTGTCATTATATGTTCCTTTTCACGTGAGCTACAATGAAATAATTAATCTCACTGTTAATACATTACCGACTATCTGCACACATTCTCAACGCACCATGTTTATATATCTGTCAATAACCGTGATCTATCAGCTGCTTAATTAAACCCGAGTCATGGGTAAATGAAAAAACAAGTACCTTTAACGTTCACGAAAATCTTAAAACTGTTACACTGGAAAATGGATAATCACAATATTTCCAAACGTAATGCCAATTGAAATCGATTTCATGAAGAGATAAATAACTTATAACAGTCTTTGTTTATTGATTGTTATTCAGTGTTTATTTTCGCTAAGAGATACAGGAATTAGTCAGATACAATCGGACAACATTTAATACGCCACAGAAAATCCATTGACGATATGAAGGTATCTGAAGTCAAAGCAAATCGTACAACAAAATGATTCTAATTATAAATAGTCGAGAAAAATTAGCTCAAATGAATAGAAGAGTAATTAAAATTTTCTGTCTATCCAACTGCTCGTAAAGAGTCACTTAGTCTGGTGATAACAGGCAAAACTTGATCGATGGAATTCATTCATCCCTAAATACCAGACAAATATGATGTCAGTTACTACCCAAATGACTCTTTGACAGCATGTCTTACCCTGAAGCTGGGTGACGCAGGTTCGGATCCTACAGAAAGCACTAATTCCTCTAGGATCCCAAATATTCCTTATTGACAAGTCTCAACTAGGACGAAACCTAGAGCTACGTTGTGAGTGTAATGATTTTAGAATTCTATGCATGGATATTACACTTTCTGTATAAATGTCACAATTATGTTGACAACGCGTAATCGACTCATGTATAACATGGTTATTTGTTTAGTGATTTTCGCAGTTCCTCAACAATACTAATTCTAAACTATTCACGAAACAAAACGTTGCAAATCACTTGCTTGTGAGATTGAGTCTATAATACATCAGTTAAATTGTTTCTTAATAGATGTGCTTTTGACAAACAAGATATCATACTCCCATGTCAAAGAAAGCAACCAATTTAAGTGTAGACAGTCATGCACGATAAATCATTGTTTCTTTAACGAAGACTGATAAATGAATGATGTGAAATCCGAGACAAACAAAGAAACATTGTACAGTTGAAGTAGTAATAATGATCTCATTTGTATGAAATATATATTTGCACATGATTAAGATGATTCAGATCAATAAGGTTTCATATAATAGGTATCATTATCTAGTTAAACTTGAGTAGGTTGCCATAAATAAAATGAAATATTTGTCATATCCCAATGAGTAGAAAATCTAATTTTTCTACGCACTGGGACATTAAAAATATATTATTTTATTTATAAGGTTTCATATTGGTTGAAACAAATGATCATTACTGTATAACAGATATACTCAAAGGATTTCCCAACTCACCCAAAAGATATAACAATGAATTCCCTACTTACTGCCTCTAACCAGTTGCCTCGCATTTAAACCCATTATATAATTGTCGCTAACTTCATTTCCGATCCATTTTTAATGTTCTTGTAAATTCATCCTATTAGATAATTCTTCTTCTTTAATCTCATGATTTGCTGACAGATGTTTATAGTCAAATTAATTATCCCTCGATCCATACACTGATTTTAACTCAATGTTAAACATGGTCCTTTAAGTGTACTTATGATCATATGTCTTGTACAAGCATATTTTAGCTTCACTAGTTTGCCTTTGACGTGTGTTGCAATCGTTAAATATTCAAATTACTATTCTCATCGTAATATACCACCTACATATATATGCAGTATATACGTATCCACTTTTCCCCCAAAAGTTTTATTTAATTGGGCAATTGTTTTTTCATATCCTGGTCGACGTCTTGACTCTCTTAGTGTTTTGACAGAAGTTTCCTTGGTTTATATACGGGAATTTTTGAAAAATTTAGCTATATATTCTTTCTTTGAACAAAATTATAAATTTATACCAAGGCAGATTATACTTGTCGTGATCAGTATTGTTATTGTTAAAGTGGTCGTTCAATGTTTCATCCATAAGGAACTACAGTACACATTGATTAAAAGATATGATTAGAAACTATAGGCTTCTCTCATCAACCGAAGATGGTTTTAAATTACAATGAATTATAACGTGATATAATTTATATATACCCTAGTCGATAAAATCGATTCTGAAAAAGAACCACAGTAAGCGGACGTAAACTGTTCAGCATGGTATTTAACATTGCTGCGTATGTGTATGTTGGAATAGAGATCGTATAATGAAGGGGCTGATGTCACAAATACTGGTTGTGAAGCGAAATGGGAAAAAATTTAACAAATGAGTGATTGTGTAATTATATTACCTAGTCTTTCATGTCATTACTGTTTTAAAAAAATAAGCGATCGATTGTGAAGTTGATAATATCAGGATAAATGGTTATAAAACGCTTTTTCAGAATGAAATCACTCATCTCACACCATATCCCGTATTCATAATGATGTAGATGAAAATGTTTTATTCCGAATAAACCAGTCCGTTTTTAATTATCTTGTGTGTGTTTGTGTATTGTTTTGTTTAATAATTATGTTTTACTTCGAATAATTCTACGTGATACCATGGAGTAATAGAGTTGCATAATTTGGCTGATTGAATCGGGGATTATAAACATAGCTTTGGTTCTCGTTGACATTCTTAAGGGAGCTGGTGGTTCCTTTTGAGTTATAATTCCCCTAGTATTGCAGTCAGGGTTATTGCTATGAAATTTGGGCTGCGGTGGATCTCTTCTAACTGTAGGTGGAAATCGATAACGCGTTTATCCATTTCCAAATAAATGTCTCTGTGACACTGGGGGAACCTCACAGGAAGCATCGCCTGCCTAAAAATTTTATGTCTAGCTAAAGAGATACAATTATCTCATTTTTAAAACACAATTGTTTGAACGAAGAATATTCTTTTCAATAATTTCTCATCAGGTTCTACAATTATAAATCCAAATTAATAATCCGTAAAATCGGCCAGATTTAAGGTAGAGTACATCATTTAAAAACTAATATGTGAATCAAGAAATGTTGTTTGTCATATCAAATCAAATCGTTAATGTTGGGGCTGACTAATATAAAGTGTTAACTTGAATCAGTTTTTAAGTGAAATGAAATCGTGCGATAAATGATCAGAATAAATATGGTCAACTTGTGGTGAGAGAGAGAGGATAATGGAATAAAAATCAGAAATTACGTAATATGTAGAATATGAATTAGGTCAGATAGAGTAGATAGGGGTAATAATAATGATAACTCCATTTGTAAACCGTTTGTCTCATTACTCTTTTTTGTTTTAGGATGAACAAACACCGTTGCATGTGGCATGTTTAACTGGGACACCAGAATTAATCAATGTATTGTTGTCATGTAAAGCTAATCCGAATCTACCAGCTCGTGATGGTTATACAGCTTTGCATATTGCAGCTAAAGAAGGTCGTCATGATTTGTTGAGTCAATTGTTAGAAGCTGGTGCTGATTTAAACGCTCGTACAAAGGTTAGTAGGCTTTTTCTTTGACATGATTTAAAACATATTCTTATTTTTCTATTCTATATTGCATTGGTTACCACTAACGTTTGTAAATTCCATTAGGAATTTTGATATACATTTTCATCATAATGCTCTTAATTCTGCTTTTAACTGTTCGTTCCTTCTCCTGTCATATCTTCTGTACTTAGTCTTGTTTTCTGGTACTGTTACTGCTGCTGTTACTACTCATACTACTCTGGGATTTGTCTTGATTATTTCATTTCAATTTGCTCGTGTGATATAGTTTGAACTGATCACATAGGAACCAAGTTCTACGGTACCTCTAATTGACTGACCGACTGACTAAGTGTAGTTAGTTTCATCAATAACTTGGCGAAATATTTATAATTTATGGTTACTATTGATCCTAGGTTTGGTTATTATCTGCATTGACTTAAAAAGATGCTAATAACACGTGTCACACTTGGAAATTTATATCTTTGAGTTTTCTATTGATTGGATTTATTGAGGGCATGTGTTTCAGTCATCAAACTCAATTATTTCAAGGTTTACACACATAACTACAACGTTTACCAATGCTAAGTGATCTTGCTTGTGTTAGAGCATACCTACACACATTCAGTTAACTGACACATTGATTTTAAAAGACTGTCCTCAGAAATTCAGTAGAAATCCATGAAATATGTCAACAGAAACTTTAAAAATTATTACTAGTTAGTATTGTTCATTTGTCTGAACTGCTTTTTTTGTACACTGAACGTTGACTGACACTTCCTTTGAGTTTAAGGCCTAGTATTACTGTTGCTGAAAACCTAAACTCAAATTAAAAGAAATGGGATTTAAACCTGCATGACCAAGTAATTGTAAATGGAGTACATTAATCTTCTTATTACCTCTACACTCTTGATTTTAATCACCATAAGTGCTTTTTGTATTTCCTAAAATAATTTAAATCCTGTTATGTGTTTGTAATTTTCTATTGTGATATTTATGAGTGCACTTTTCCAATCTCTATTGCCTATGTTATTTCTAAATGGAGTGCATAGATATATCTATTTATTTATTTATATACTAGTGCAAGGAAGCATCAAATATATATATATATATATATATATATATATATATATATATATATGCACCACACAAATCATTGGGTATCTGTGTGGGCTGGGATATTACCCAGTTGCCCAATTCGATGCAGGTTGTTTTTCTTAGAGGGCTACTCCTCAAACCATTTAATCTTTATGTGTAATCGACAGTGTAGTGGATCAACGTTAGGAAATGTGAATCCATGGTGGCTGGTGACTAACAATAGGTTCATACGCCATTTGTTCTCTCAGGATCGTGGAGCACATGAGCACCATTGATTCGGAATCGGAATTTTCCAACTATCCTAAATGGATCCAAACTGGTCAAAGCACCGAACATTCGCTCTTCGTCCTCTCAATTTCGTATATATATATATATATATATATATATATATATATATATTTGAATTTTTTTAAATTGCTTGTTTTGTTCCGTACTATTTTTTTTTATTTTTCTCTGTTTTGCTTTACTCCATGTATGTGTACAAAAATACACAGAAAGGTTTCACCGCTCTTCATTTAGCCGCTAAACGTGGTCATGTGAAAGTAGCTAAACAATTAATTCAAACACAACCGAAAAGTGTTAACGCTATTGGTCAGAATGATTTAACTCCTTTGCATATTGCTACACATTATAATCGTTTACCTGTCGTACAATTATTATTGGATAATAATGCACAAGTAGATTGTCGGGTAAGTTGAATAAATTAATTTTTATTATTGTTAATTAATTAATTTATTTATTTTAACACATAGATATCGGTACAAGGAGGCACCAAATATATATGTGCCACACAGATAGCAATTGATATGTGTGAGGGTTGTAAACACAGAGTAGGGATAAAAGAGAGTGAATAAATGACGTAGTAAATAATAATAATAATAATAATAATAATAATAATAATGTGAGTCATTTGATTGCTATTCGGATCAAGAAGAATATTTTCCATAAATAGACAGTTTATCATTTCTTTTTTTGTGTGTGGGCTGTGATGCTGCCCGGGTGCCCAAACCGAAGCAGGTGGTTTTCTTAGGGGGCCCCACTCCGAGCTTTCGACCTGAAAATCTGATCCACAAGGCAGTGGAGCATCGTAAGGAGATGTAGTCCCATGGTAGCCGGTGACCAACGATTGGCTCGTACGCCATTTGTTCCCGTAAGATACTGGAGCCCATGTGCACCATTGTTTTGGGATCCGGTCAAAGCGCCGGACGTTCGCTTTTCGTCCTCTCATTTTCGTAAAGAACACCCGTGGTGCGAGAAGGCAGTGAGTAGGACTTCCATGGCAGAGGCTATATACGCGTGGCTGTGTGAGAGTATTTCGAAAGGGAGGGCGGACTCTCCCCACTCTCGGCCGTACCAGGGCGTTTGGGGGATATTTTTGTTAATATGTCTTTTAAATGAATAATCAATCCTATTTTCTAGCCGCTTTTAGTAACACCAGGTTAATTTTCTCGGCAACTTGAACACAATGAGATAATCGGAGGAATTATGAGAACCCTTTGTTCTGTGATTAATTTATGTACAGAAAATCAGGGTATTTATGTAGTTTCAGGTGACCTTTGGCTTCTAGAATTTTCTTGAAACGTACTACATATAGTAGCAACATAGGGATATATACAATCAGAAGCGTGGCGTGTAAGTCTTTACTTTCTATATGCTCCTTGGAAGCTTCTTTGCACCTTTGATTAAATTTCCGAGCGTTTTCGGGGCCACTTGGACTTTTTTTGAGGAAAACTTTAGTATACTCCAAAAACCATTAATAATATTACTATTGTTATTTTGTTGTGGGATATCAGCCTTATAGATTTTTTCTTTTTAAACAAATTTTAATATTTATTATCCAAGTTTTAGTGAGAAATTCAAATTTTTATATCAACAGCTTGTCGTATAATATATTTGTTGTGTCATCATAGTGTATAAATTACTCAGCCGAAGCATACGAAGATCGTGTAACTGCTGCCTCGTGTTTTAATAAAAATTTTGCTGGAAGCGTAAATCAACTGTTGTTACTAAGTTCGGCTAGTTATCACGCAATTTATTCACCAATCAAAATACGACTTGTTCACTGTCGTACTATATTAAACCAATCACGTTCGACCCGTCTGATCAGCCTGGCGTCCTTATTGGTCCCTTGCTAGCCTTGTCCGTCTAGTTGTGTCCAGAACACCAATAGCAGCTTCCACTATGCGAATCATTTATTTCAGACATACTTGGTTTATATACCAGCCAAACAGACCGCATCACACCATAAAATAGGAAATAACATTCATACTCATCAAAGTTCAAAAGTGATTGTGAACGTGGGAGACTTTGATCACTAAACTGAACATAGCTATAAGAACAGTAAATCGTATGATAACAAATTATAGGCCAAAATGAAGTTTATAATAAGAGGAATATAAATATACATAATCTAGTTACTGAGCAGTTATACAATAGGAATATGTGTATAATATTAGTCCATTAATAAATCTCAGAAGTTATTCAATCTAATCTTGGCTAGGAACAAAATAAACTATTAGCAACTTTTTTTGATATTGTATTGATTAACATGGATTCCTGTAGCAGATAGATTCCTAAACCGATTAAATGTCCATATGTACGGTCTTCTAATTGTTGTGTCGCTCATTTCGTTCGTTCGCGTATAAAAAACATAAATTCTTTATATGGTCAATAATAAGTTGCGTTCATAATATAGAACACCCTAAGTTGGAAAATTAAAAAATTCTTACTGATTTATTTCTGTACAATGAAAACTTAGAAAACACACACTTTTAAACGTCCCTGTTTTTAGAGTGTAAACTGCTGTTAATTATGTAGATTAGATTGAAACGATAAGACTGCCCTTAAAAAGAGTACGCAGCTACTTTTTTTAAATATGCTATTTATTCAACTGCAAACATATTTCAACTGGTAACACTACCCATGTAATTAAACCATACAAAGTGGATAACGAATCAAACCTACAACCTAATAAAGAAACTCTTGCGGCTTTAATTTACAGACTATCGTTTCATTCTGATTATTGTATTCATCTCATTATAGTTTGAGTAGTGACTTGTTATTCCCCATACGTAAAACCAATACATTACTGTAGGGTAACCAACTGTAACGTAATAAATGATATCAAATAGAGTTTATACGAAATAGCTAAACGAATAACGTCACTAGACTACATGCCCACGAAGCTGTTTAACCAAGTTTGTATGATTAAATTTATAATCTATCAAGTAGATAAACTTTCTAAGTACATAGAAGTAGTTACTTGTCAAAGAAGAAGCGTATTCATGAAAAACTACAGATGCCGTTCTTCTAGTTAAGGATGAAATAGTTCAATCGTTCACACAGACAACCAATAAATAGTACAATCCTTATACAATGAAGTTGCATTGAATCAAGCAACTAAACTTTTAAAGAATATAATGTAATTACTTTACGAGGTAAAATTATACCCCCAACAATCTAGGAAATTAATGCTACCGTTAAACTGCAACCCATTTCAAACAGCAATAATCCAAATAAGTATTATGGCAGTTACCAGGTTCCTAAGTCTATTGGTAGGAAATAACACAATTTGTAAAAGTCATGTCTATAAAATTATACTCGAAGAAAATCAATATTACAAGTCAAACGACTAATAACAGTCTTATCTGGTGTCATAAAATAAACAGAATTTGAAAACGAAGTATCGAAAATAATAAAAATCCTCATTTAATGGCAAGACAAAGTGTGATTGTTTCATTAAACGTGTCCTTGCAAGAATTTCCACAAAATAAACAGACAAAAAGAATTCTACAGCGTATGATATCCGGTGCTACTGCGGATAGTGACGACTATTGGTAGATCGACAAACCTATAGTAAGATCTTTCAGGTAATTTCATATTTGATGATGGGATAAAAATAATAGATAATGTCTTTTCCTACTACTAGTCAACTATTCAATTCCCCCTTTTATAAACACAATTTAATGACATTTCATTGAATAAAGCTATCATAATTCTTTTTCCGGTTTATTATCATCAAATTCATATTCTGTTTTTGTTTTGTATGACTACTTAGTGCCTTGTATAAAATGCATGAACACACACTAGTAACATGCAATGCATTCTATGCTGTTTTCTTATTTTTCTTGAGAAAGAATTTTTTTATTTACAAATAGGTAGAACATACATGTTAGGGATCATAGTTTAATCGGTATTTATATCTTTATTATAAATTCTTCTATTGCTCTGTTGGGCGTCATTCGTTCACTCAATTGATTTCACCCACTACACAACGTGTCCTATTATTATTACTGTTACTGGTCATGTGTTCTGTGTTCATCCACGTGATAATGTCTTAGTTAAGACACCATATATTTCGCTTGAGTTACTTATATATATTATGATAGGAAAATTACAAATATGCTTTGTAAGTATTCGTACATGCGTGTGTGTGTGTGTGTGTAATTAAATCAGTTTAATGCACTTTGATTAATGAATTAGCTTGTGAAATAATGTAGGAACCAACAATGCTTTAGTCAAAATTGTCAAATGTTCGAAACAGGAAAAACAATAGTAGGCTCTTGTTATGCTTTTTTCTTTAATATTGATTTATTCAAAAAGATTCCTATTAGAAAGCAAACAGACAAAATAAACATTGGTTTATACTTTATACTTTATTTATTAACTAATTTAACAAGTTCGGATTCATGCACTTGACTTCGAATCACACTCTAACTATGAAAGCTAGTGATATACTATCCAGTTGATCAACTCGAAACAGATGTAGTCTGATTCTAATATGTGTCTGTGTGGCTGTAAGTCACACTGCCTAACCACTGTAAAATCGCTCAAAAGCACTTGACTTTCGGAACAATCTATTCTTCAGTTCATGTTTGTAAACTGTTCATTGTTACTAATACATCTTTTCAATTAATGCTGCTATCGCTTCACTTATCATTGCTCATCAGCGTTTACAACATGCGTGAACCGCATGCCCACCCTTTTAAGTTCAAAATAATTTCATAATCTCATCCTTGGGAATAATTTACTAGAATAAATCAATTTATTGCTTTATATGTGGGCACTAGTCTACTATTATCAGCCATTCAAATATTAATTCTCTTTGTTTTATGCTAAATATAGTATACAATTCGGATCAATCAGATGATGCTCCAAATATTCAAATCTTAGAAAACGAGTCAAAACTATTTGAATTCAAAAATTAGCCTTATACTTTTTAGCAACCCTTTATTAGTCGTATTGTAGCCACATACACTTGACATATCTTAATCTGTAGCTTCATCATTGGGAAAGTTTAGTGGATGATGTATCTCCCCGACGTTTATTTTTTTAATTAGACGTGGAGGAAACGGCTGTTTAATTATTGGATGTTGTTAATCTTGAAGTGAAATATAGTTGGTAATGTGTGTACTTGAATATAAAAATCAATCAAGTTTATAAATGAGCAATGTTGTTGTTTCATTTCTTTTTCGACCATATATTCTTAATCTTGATTAAGTTTTCGGATTTGTAGCTTTGAAATTACGTTTCTTTTTCTCTTAAGGATATGATCCACTTTTATAAATGATTGGCAGTCAAAATCACGTCAATTTATCGACACTTCACATTGTTCGAATCTTTTTGTCAGCATAGCGACAACAACAAGCTCTAATCAGTAATGGTGCCAACCGATTCAAGCGATATCCTTAGTGTTTATATAAACTTAATAAATTTATCTCAGTTACTAAATAAAGTACTCGCTTTTGCTGAATATTAATCAAAGAATAAATACCAAAATACTTCTGTTTTGGTCTCGTTAAGTTTCAGACAGTGATTACAGTGCTTTTTGCCACTTACCAATGACTAGGCAATAATCTATAATATCATACCTTTATATATTGGGTAAATCCATTTGATTGTTATTCTGTCTTTCTTTATCGATAATTTTTTATGGACAGTTGAACTTTGAATCTGATAATTTATTTTACTGCAAAGTCTTAATGCTATTATAAATTATGTGTTTACACCTGTTGTTTTTTTAAAGGCTGGCAATGGTTATACGTCGTTACATATGGCAGCTAAACAAAATCATTTAGATATTGCTACACTTTTATTGGCTCATGAATCTGACCAAATACAAATCGCAAATTCATCATCACGTAGTGGGTTTACGCCATTACATTTAGCTGCACAAGAAGGTCATACTGATATGGTTTCATTACTACTACAACATGGAGCTGATCCAAATCATCAGTCGAAAGTATGTTGAGTTAAATATTACTTTATATTATAGAATTTATTTAGACTTCACTATTGACACAGATTACTGAATAAGAAAAGATCAATTAATTTAATCAATATTTAGTCAGCTAGTTGTAATCAACGTGAAGCCTAGCATAAATATGCTTTAGCTCATATTTTTTTCACGCCATATTAACAAAACGAAACGAATTTCATGGTCACTAATCAATCGCTGAAGATTTAGATGTAAAAATTGTGCTTTCTAAGAGTGTATTTATGATAGAATCAAGTAAAAGAGGCAATGCTGTGCAACGTTGACGAAAGTCTTCATGTTATCAAGTCAGACAACTGTTCATCATAAGCTTTGAATTAACCAGCAGTGTTTGATTAGAGAGTCGTCACATAGTTTACTAACTTCATTTCGTCTTTCAATGACAGATGCTGCCATACAATCTGTCGATGAACGGAGGTCAAGAAATACAGCGATAGTCGAGTACCGGCAAGTATTTATGTTCCAGAGCTTAAGGAAAGGTGAATATTCATTGGTCTACCCACGTCTGGGTTTGAAACCAGGTTGGTTTTTCAGTATTCGCTGTTCTGGAGCCCCAGTTGAAGTTCGGATTGTTGTTAAGGCCAATTATTTAGACACTATATTGAATGATTGTGGCCTAAAAAGTTATTAGATAGATTTGAAACTGGAAATTTACAGGCAGGCAAAGGTTGAGTCGATCTGCGTAGCCGCCCTATCACCCGAAGTTTAACGATTGTTCACAAGTTCAACCGGATAGTCTGAACCTCTCTATACAGCTCTGTCCAACAGTCAATCGATTCATGAATTGACGTTACATTTTAGTTTGTTTCCTCTCATAGCATTCATCCAATCAACATCTACACCAACCAATAATATGCGTACAGGTATGGAGTCTAGTCCTCAAACTTTTGTTTTATATCATCCATCTATCTGCTCTAATGAGTTCCCACTCTATCCATTGTTTTTATATTATCAGTTTTAACAATACAAGATTTATCTAGTCATCTTTTAAATAACCAATGTATGATTCAAACTAATTGTTTTCCTGTTCAATACTATATCCTTGTATCAATTGATTACAAACTGGCATAGGATATCTTTCTTCGATATACTCTATATACCGTTTAATATCTAACGTTAACCTTTACTAAGCAAATATAAGCATGTATTCTCATACTATTGCGGCTTTGTGACTTGTTTGGGCCACCTATTGTTAAACTGTGTAAAGATTGCAATTAACCTTTCTGTTTTTTAGTTTTTCTTCAAATTAAAAATATTAACTGTATGTACTCATGCGTTATTATAAAAGACTTACAAAATATCACGATGCTAAATACTGGAAAACTTTAACTAAATCACTATATTTGTTCAAATATTCTCCTTTGAATGTACAAGAGATAAATATATTGAAGTTTGTGCAACTTATAAGTATTCTATTGAACAGATGGTTGTAGCAATTGAATTGTTGGAAAACTTTGGGGATTCAAGATCACTGGCAGATACTAACTACCAAAAACATTCGTAAAATATGTTTCCAAATGATTGCAGTTTAAATGTATGCTAAGTAGAATTTCATTGCAATATTGCGAAATTTTTGCGGAGAATCCCTTATCGTAGTGAATAAATTTATTATTATTATTAAAAAAAGAATTGTATTTGTTTCTCTCACAGAATGGTCTTGCACCACTACATTTAGCCGCTCAAGAAGATCACGTGTCAGTGGCACAAATTCTAAAATCCGCTGGTGCTAAAATTAGCCCTCTAACTAGAGCTGGTTACAGTCCGTTGCATACAGCATGTCACTTTGGACAAATTAACATGGTACGCTACTTATTAGATTTACCCGATGCACCAGATATTAATCAACGAACACAAATGGGTTTTACTCCGTTACATTTAGCTGCACAACAATGTCATTCACAAGTGGTTCGTTTACTCTTAGAAATGGGTGCTGACAGCAATGTTAGAAATCAGGTAGGTGATAATTTCTTTTATTCTTTTAATACTTTGAGTGTACCATCAAAATTAATCTGGCTAGATGAAATTGTATGAGCTTCATTTCATAAAAAATTTAAGTGTAAACAATAGTTTCGCACTATTTCCGGAATTGTTTTGAGATGGATCGATAGGTGTTAGTAGTTCGTTGACTAATTAAGTGCATTAAATGCTATGTTCGGATAGTCCTTATTAATGTTCATGTTCTATTGATCAGGTTACAATGGAGTCACCAGTTTTAACGACTTACCATGACGCGGACTGTGTTTTAATATTTGATAGTTTGAGTAAACCAAAAAGTAATCCTTGACCTGGACTTATTGCTAGTTGCCACTCGTCAAGTAATACTTTTCAAGTGGTTCGGAACCAAGGACCTCTTGCAGTAAACATCAATTCAATCCTCTTAGGTCTGCATATATGAGTTAGGTAACCAGATCCAGGGTTTCTCACCAATTACGTGCAATCACTTAACTGTTTTCAGTATAAAAAACGCACGCACCTTGGAGAATAATAGATTAATTACTAGATCATATGTTTTGTGCATTTTTGAAATTTTTTCTATGCACTTACTGTGTTTGCAACAGTGAATATATCACGACTCTGGAAATATCATTGACTAGTGTATGGCTTTACGTATCATTTCGAAAATCATTTGCAAGTTGTTTATTAATGCTTGTCGCTTAACAAGTAGAATCCATCACTTACTTTATTAAAGCCGAAATGTAAATAGGCTTACAAGTATTCATAAAAGCCATCCGTCTATTTTCGCTTCGCAGCTATTCGGAGTTAGAGAAAGTGATATTTCTATAATCTTGTGACAGTACTCTATGTAGTGCGTTCGTGGGTTCTGCCAGTTCATTTTTAAGCACAGCGTCTCATGTTTGAATTTCTCATCCATCTTGTTAAGTCTAAATTTTGAGCTGAATTTCTAGTCACACCATATTAGCAATGATGAGGTTGAACAGTATTTGTTTGACCACAGCGACAATATTTCAGTTTTTGTCACCATATTGAAACGCCGGCTGTTGTACCTCGAGGGTGTTTTACAAATGCTATCCCAGCGACCTCTACTTCATGCATTATTTACCATCTCTATAACTAGTTGGAAAATGTGAGATGGTATTCAGTTTATGATATGGTGTCATGGTCTGTAAAAGATTGCATGGGATTGGCATCTGCGTGTCTATAATGCCTTCCTGATCGGAGTCTTAAAGACGAAAGGTTATCAGGTATGACACAGAATAGGCATCCTTCACAAAAATCAGTAGCAAATCGCTTAAATGAAGCTGTCTTTTTGATAACGTTTTTATCAGAACTGTCTCTCATATTATAATCTGTTTTCATTCATTTTTATTCATTTCTTTAGTTGTATCATGCTCCTCCGCCTCGGCTTTTTCCCTCAACAATTTTTATATCTTTATTTTGACGCGCAGTTTTCTTGGTGTTTATCAGTATAAAATCTCTGGCGTGTCGAAACTGACTTTATTAACCTTAGATATCGACTTATTATATATTGAAGTATGCATAAATGATATTGACTTTCATAGTCACAACCTTTCTCACTACATAAATCCAATAATACAATTAGTTTTCTATCAATTTTATATTTGAAGTAGAAACACATCATTCTCAAAGCAACCGACTGATCGATACATATATGGCCATTGATCAGGATAGTTTTTCATGGCAAATCTCATTCAGTACCATCGGCAAATAAATTTATAATCATGTGAAGTCATTTGGAAAATTGTCGTAGTAACTGGTAACATAATTGTCACAGTATTTTTTAGACCAGAAAAGTTTCCTATAGTTCTTTTGTTTCTAATATGACAAACATGAGTCAATTAAGCTTAATTAGTCTATACTCTTCCTATGTATATGTGATTAGATTTTTGTGGATTGCTTATACTGTGTATGTCTAGAAGCCTGTATCTTTTGAACAGTTTCTCTGTGTTTCTGACTGCATTCATAATGTTTATCTTAACATTAGATTCGTTTCTGGACTTAATTTATTGGTCGTACGACAATATCACAGATTCATAACTGGTACAATTTTGTACTGTAAACTTCATTAACATTTTATCAAAATAACCTAAAGTCTACATTCCATTGAAAATAGTTTCGTCATAGTGATTGTTGGATAGAAATAAAGAGGATTTTCTCTGAATTGTCGTTATATAAACTGAGAGGTGGAAATATAGTCTTGAAATTAATAATGATGATACTTATCATTGTGGTTATTATTATTTTTATCAGTGTTATTGTTATATTGGTTTCAATGATATGTATATAATCCACGCTCCTGTGTGTTTCTTTTGCTCTTCATTTCACATTTTATTCTATACATTGGACTGTAATGAATATTGCCAAATCATGATCGTCACTATTCACTAAACACCTCTTTATAGCAAGGTCTGACACCAGCACATATAGCACGTAAACAGCATTATGTTACAATATTTGATATTTTAAAAACTGTCACTACAACTGTAGTCAGTTGGGAGGAGGAACGTGAAGAACTTGATCAAACGCTAATGTTAGAACATCCAGATTTTATGCGTGAACATCCGTTTACAGAATTAGATGAAGATGGTGTTGGTATGTTATTTCGCAATTTGTAATATTCATATATTAGTTTTTGATGAAAATTTGAGGTATTCATCTAATTATTTACTATCCACTTGTTATTCATCAACACTGCTTTCCTATTTCATGCCGTAATTCTCGTTATATTTGTGTTTTTCACTCAGTATATTATGATTGGCTTAACAGATTTGTTCATCATACCAAACAGTTTGAAATATGTTCAGACATATATAATAATGTTCATTTAAATTATTGTTAACGCTGAGTGATATAACAAGTTGCTTGAAGAAAGGACTCTTTTCTATTGAATTCATTTACAATGGTGGGCTATTGTTTCGATATGTGTTAATTTATAAAACTAAAAATAATTTGTATATTTGTTAGCATACCAATGCAGAGTGAATTGTGATAGGAAAATCAACTGCTTAATATTTTGTAATTCAGTGGTTATGAGAATGGAGAGTATATATTCATCACGGCAAGAGAAGTAACTGTGAGTAACATTAACTTAATAGTTGAAACGGAGGACATTATTGTATTAAGTTGATAATAAATTAATAATTACTATGATAATATCGGAAGTAGGGACATCTTTTAACGGTTAAATTCACGAGTCCATCTAAGCTAGACCACCGGTAAAAACGTGGAAGCACTGGACGACCGTTTTATCCTAGTGTAGGACTGTTCGTCTGTCCACATCCACTATCCTTCAGACGGGAATCGAACCCAGAACCTTCGGTCTCGCGTACGATCTCTTAACCTCTAGAACACTGAGCCAAGATTAGCCGGATTAGCTTAAAAATAGATTTCCCGGAGTTCTAGTGAGAAGCCGTGACCAGTGTATTACAACCCGTGTCTTGTGTGAGACAGTCATCCACCTCAGACAATGGATGAAGGATTGAACATGATCATGGATCAATTGAAGTTAGAAATCAACACCGTTTGATTATCAATGCCATTTACTAAATCATGATTAAAAAACCTATGGTATGTTATATTTAAAATTCACTGTACGAAACATTTTTCAAATTGACTCATCTGGTCGGTTTCTAGGTATCATCACTATCGCGAGTGTGTTTAATTTTCTATTTGTTCACAACTGTTAATGTTTTTATTATCTTGATAGTCATGTTAACCTGGTATTCTGAGGAAATGGCCTAACTGATGTGTATAGATTGTTGAAAATATTTTATTCGTATGGTCTTTAGAATATGCTCTAATTATTGTTTATATAACAAAGTGTGTATAGAGATGAACTTTGATTATTTTAATTCAATTCATGATACATGTTGTTTTTAGTATTTTCATTAATATTGAATAAATAGGTAGTTTGTACCATTTCCCTATGTCCTGAATAATTAAATTTGACTCTAGGAACTCGCTACTGGAACAATGTTCATGTAATATACTTCCTAAGTTAAGATTTGGTAATTTCTTTATATGTTAGCATTACACGACATCGTAATATGACCATGTGATTTGTTTGCTTGATAATAACACTATAAATCGGTCGTTAAGTCATATTATTTCTCTGTAATTTTTTCACGACTCTGATTTCTCAACTCATTCGCCTTTTACAAATTAAAGCACTTACGGCGTAGAGAAGATCTTTGTCTGTTAATGGCATGGCGAGTGTATGTCACAGCAGTTCACTTTTTATTACTCTTTAGGTGTTAAATATTGTTGTGAAAGTAAAAAGCCTGCGCAGTGTGCATCTATTTAATCATAAGTTTCTTATACATCGTGTGAGCAATGTTGACCCGACCGTTGTTGCTACCTTGACGTGGTGGTCGGGCTTACCTATCGTGATGAACCAATCGACATATATTGGCTGAAATAATCGTTCCTCAGGATCTTGACATGCCAGACAAATCTGTTGGAAAGCGTTGAGACTAAAAGCAGCAAACCCAAGGTCCGAGAGTGAAGTCGTACTGCTGACTGTACAGAGGTGTGAATGCAGTGAGGTGTTTTCTTCAGACAACCAGCATAACAGCGACACTGCCTTCCCACAAGGAGGGGTGGGGTTAGGAAAGGTAGACCCTAAAAATGAACACCTCACCTTGTCCCACGGATTTCCGTCTCCCGCGGTAGGGTTACGACAAGTACTGAGCTAAAGCGGAAACTAATCACAAAGAGTTCGTTTGTGACCGGCCTCAAGCAGTTGTCCCTTGGGTGCTGCGGTCACTAAGGCCACCCTAAGCCAATTTCTTTTTCAGGTACTTCTAGAAGAACCCTTCCACGGTGTGGGCAGCCGGGAAGTGATAACTGCTTTCATACCTGTAACAACACTCAAGGCCACTTTATTCATAATTAATCTCCCTCTTAAATTGCTATTATTCCTCCTACCTCGATTTTCAACTCTAAACTTCCTCTTTTGACTTCCTTTTCAAGTGTCACCATGGCCAACGATTCTAGTTCACAAAACATTGTCCCAGATCTACTAAAACCTCGCTCCAAACTACACATTGGAGCCTTCAACGTACGCACACTATGTCAAATCGGTCAGCAGGCATCCTTGGCTAAAACCCTAGAATCTCGTACCATTGGTGCATGCTGTGTCTCCAAAACACACATACAGGATCCTAGTGTGGTCATTCACTTGACCTCACCTCGGCAAAACGGAGAGCCAACGAGATCCACCCTCTGTATATCTGGCAATCCGATGGCTAGTTCTCGTGGACTGGCAGGTGTAGGCATACCTCTAAGTGTGAGGGCGGAACAAGCGCTATTTGATTGGATCCCTGTTAACAGTCGTCTATGCGCTGCCCGTAAGATCTCGGGAGGATAGAGACGCACGTCGTTGCCTTTTCGCTGTTTCTGCCTACGCTCCCACTGACTGCAGCTCGGATGAAGTGAAAGATGAATTTTACAGAAAACTTTCTGAACTTTTTCCGAAAGCTAAACTTTCAGACTTTAATGCCCAGGTAGGTAGCTTAAACGAAACAGAAAGACATTTAGGTAGGTATTTTAGTATTCCGGCACAACGTACAAATAATGGTGATAGTCTGCGCAACTGTGCTCAGACAACCGTTTATTTTTAGCAAACACAAATTTTAAGCATAAGCGGAGACACGGTCTAACATGACGATCATATTGCCATCAGTCATCGTTGTAGAGGGTCGATAGAAGATTGTCTCTCATTCTGGGGTACCTGTTTGGACTCCGACCACGCACTAATACGAGCACGCATCTGCTTGCGCCTCACTGCAGGCAAAAAAGCCACATTAAAAAAAACCCATTAGAACTGAATTGAGTAACGAGAAAAGCAAACGTAGGTTCCAAGAACAACTGAGGTCACACCTAGGTAGTTCTGAAAACGAGGCTGACCCCGATGTTGCTTGGAAAGATATACAATCAGCTGTGGAAACAGCTTTGACATCTATTAGTGATTTAAACCAAAGGGTTACAAACAACCAATGGATTTCTTCAAGGTCGATTGCACTAATAGATTCGCGTAAACTCATCTCATCAGGCTCTGACCACAATGATGAGCGAAAGCAAATCAGATCTAGGTTAACTAAAAGTTTAAGGAATGATCGTGAGCAGTGGTGTGCAACGAAAGCAAAAGAGATGGAAAAGGCAGCGGCTATAAGTAACACGAGACAACTCTTCAGACTCATAAAAGAAACTGGAACTAAAAAATCAGGTGTAAGTGAGACTGTCTCGGAAAAAGTCGACACTCATCTGCTCCCAGTCGAGACGTTCAGGACGATGGGCGAAACACTTTAAGGAGCAGTTCAGTTGGCCTTCAACTACTCTACAACTACCCACCATTCCGAGAAAGTGTGAATGGAACATTGAAGTAGGTCCTCCAACTCTAGCTGAAGTTCAAAAGGCTATAATTAATCTAAAACGAGGAAGGGCAGCTGGTCCAGATGGATTGGCTCCAGAGGTCTTTAAGGATGGTGGTCCAATTTTAGCGACTAGGTTGACTGATATTTTAGCTAAAATCTGGGGATTGGACGTAATCCCCTCTGAGTGGTCACAATCACTTATCGTTCCAATATATAAGAACGGGTCGAAATCATTCTGTGACAACCATAGAGGGATTAGTTTAATTAATATAGTATCTGAAATACTAGCCTCGATAATTATCGAACGCCTAACTAAGACTCGTGAACTGCAAACACGAGAGAATCAAGCTGGCTTCAGACCTGGTCTTGTCTGCATCGACCACATATTCACCATTCGTCAGGTTCTAGAACACAGGCATACTTATCGGCGTCCGACAATAGTGGTCTTCATTGACTTAAAAGTAGCATTTGACTCTGTAGACCGAGACGTTCTGTGGCAGTGTCTATTATTGAAAGGCGTACCACAGAAGTACATAAACCTTGTGAAGGCTCTTTACTCGAACACTACTAGTCGAGTCAGAGCTTATGGCGAACTGTCATATGCTTTTGCAACCCCAACTTTCTCCATTTTTGTTTAACTTCATCATAGATCTATCGATGGAAATAACGCTCTCATCGACTGAATTTCCGGGCATTGGTCTCCTACCAGGAGGTCCACTTATCGACTTGGAATACGCAGATGATGTAGCCCTGTTTGGTGAAGGCGCTGATAAAATGCAGTCTTTTGGCAGCACTGAGCAACAATGCTAGAATGTTTGGGATGCGCTTTTCTCCCTCTAAATGCAAGTTGTTGCTTCAGGACTGGTCTGCATCAACACCTGAACTAAGGATAGGGAGTGAAGTAGTCGAACGCGTTGACAACTTCACTTATCTTGGAAGTCTGATCAGCCCTAATTTTTTGATGTCTGATGAAATCTCAGCACGGATTCGAAAAGTTCGTTTGGCTTTTGTTGACTTACGTCACCTATGGCGAAGGCGAGATATCCGTCTATCATTTAAGGGACGAGTATACTGCGCGGCAGTTCGTTTTGTTCTACTTTACGGCTGCGAAACGTGGCCACTAAGAGTAAGAGATACTCGTAAGTTACTAATATCTGACTACAGATGTCCTAGAAATATTGCTCCCATCCGCTGGGATCATCGGGTAAGTAATAGTGAGATTAGGCAGATACACGGTATTAGAGAGTGATGGTAAATCAGTTGGAAGTTGTGTATCTTCATCGACTAAAGTGGTTGGGTCACATATTACGTATGCTTGAACACCGATTACCACGGCGTGCAATGTTGACTAGTGTCGGAGACGGTTGGAAGAAAGTTAGGGGCGGCCATACCAAAACGTGGGAGGTAGTGATTAATGGACGGAATAATTCAAGAATGGAAAATCGTACAAGCACAGTTCATAGATTAAAATAAAGCTTATAATAAGAGACATGAATATGAATAGTTTAGTTAATTAACAACTATACGATAAAACATACGCATAATATTGGTCCACAAATGGATCCCAAAAAATACTATTCATTATGCTTATCGGAACCTAACAAAATGGTTGGGTTACGTGTTGCGTATACCTGAACACCGATTGCCACGACGCGCAATGCTAACCGGTGTTAGGGATAATTGGAAGAAAGTTAAGGGTGGCCAAACCAAAACGTGGCATCAGTGCTCGAAGTCACTAACTTCTAGTCTGAGCCATGTTGGTAGATGCAGACTACTTGGTTGGGGTCCGCGTGACTATCGTAATCAATAGTTAGAGACTCTGGGTAACATGTCTCGTAATCGATCACAATGGCGTAGGCGTATACACTCTCTTCCTTTAAACTAAGAGAACAAAATCGCTTCATATCTTTCTTTCTACGAACTAATTCTTTCTTCCTCTACTATATCCTTATATGCAATTTTTCCTTATATATTACCACCATTGAATTAACTACTTTTATGAATCCAGTGTTCATCTTGTTGTGCTAATGAGGTATGGCAACTTGGACCGATGCATATATGTGTTTGGTCCTTCGTTGCAGCTGACTGACTGATTGAACAATGTTGAGAGTAGGCATATGGTACTAAATAAATATAGGAAATCGGTTGATGAACTTGTTAAGCTCCTAAGTGAGATAGCTGTAATATGTATTGCATATTGCTAACCATCACTTACCTTAACACAAAGCCGGCTCTAGAAAATATAGAATAAAATAATGTTGAGCTTAACCGGATCAAGACATACCATCGTTCAGTTAAATAATTGACTGTTGAACATGTTCTGTAGTACAGCCATGATATCTAACAGATTCACGTACGTTTATTTGATGCGTATTATATAAGTGTTTCACAAAACTATATATGTACATATTTCCTATTGTTTAGTCAAATTATACAGTGAATACAAATCTTTTTACGTCATTGTCACTAGAAGGATTTTTGTTATGGTTGTTAAAACTAGATACAACGTTTTATGGTTGGTATTTAATGCTATGCCAACTTTTTAACCGTAATTGTAGCATTAGTTGGCGCCAGTTTGTAAGACCTACGTCACTTGAAGCAATTGCGTTGTTCTGTTTGGAAGACATAAAGGATTTGTTTAACTTACCAAAAAATATTCTCTTTGTGTACTGTTTATTTTTTCACCAGACCACAAATACACTAGTCCTTTCGAGAAAAATAGACGAATTATTCAAACTGTGTGGATACAGACGATAAGTGTGAAATAATAGACTGAAACACTGAAAATTCTTTTGATAAATTATCCTAAGCGTCTTTTGTTCAAACTTTTCAAATGGCAGATAGATTTTTAACTGCTGACTAATTTTAAATATAAAATCACTGAAAACCAAGAAAGATGTGGAATATTAGTGTTTTTTCCTGATAGGAATTCTACTACTCCTTTCCGTCATTTTTCTCAAAATAATTGTACCGTTATACTGAACATGTGATTTAAATACATTCCGTAAACTTGAATGCTTCTATTTTCGTATGGTATGAATTTGAGGGCGGAATGCAAATATCATCAAAAAAAAGAAGAATATTAAACGAAAAATAAAAAAAACTGTTTAATTGATTCGATGACTTTAAATGAACTACATGTAAACGTTCAATCAAATATATGTCGTTCAAATAACAAAGTAGTTTAGAGAGATATTGTGCATATAGAGAAGACGGGATGAAATATTAATTTTCATAAGGTAAAATTGAGTTGTAATGAAAACAAACAAAATGCAATAAGATAAACATTGAAAATAGATGAAGTGAAACGGAGATAATTGATGATTCATACGTAGTTTCTACAGGTTAACTAGGTCAAAGAAAATCAAAATGTAAATGATCACACTAATTAAGAGTTACTGAATATTCGCACATTTATATGATTAGCAATTTATAATGAATGCAATGGTGTCTGTTGTATATGTTAAATTTGACCTTTCTGAACAATGAAAATGCGTAGTCTTAACATACATTCAAATATTCAATTAACATTTAACAATACAGTATAATTTGTACACTGTTACTTAAACATGTTTATGTGTGTATATCTATATAGGTTTTTTCATAGGCTTGGCAGGTTGGATTCCAATCATTTCATTTTGGAATGGTGTTTTTCCTGATAAAAAAACACGGATAAGTTCGACTGCGTACTACTCACCAAAAAAACTATATATATATATATATATATATATATATATATATATATATATATATATATATATAAATAAGATATACCAGAGTATTGAATATTGCATTACACATTTTTGTGTTCTATGTAATAACTAGCCATATAAACCTGGATAAGGTTGATTTTAGATTTTGCACGCTAAATAGTTGAAAACCGAATCTTAGAATTCATCACTTCGTCATGGTTTTTATTTGGCAATGCTTTTCCATGCAGTAGAAGAAGAGTCACTGTTTTGTCTTTTTTTTCTATTGATACTTATGTTCGATACGCCAACTTTATTTAAAGATTATTTCTGTATGTATGCCCAAACCAATATTATTTAGTTGAAATACCTTGTTTATATAATTCACACTGAAATCAGTTATGAAAATGTAATGGCAGAGACGTTGTGTCATCGTTTTTGATGATGAAATAATAGTTGTCTGATAATATAATGTGGTTGAGTGTTGATTAACCTCTACATAGCTAAAGAACACAAATGAATTGAGATGTGGTCGTGCCAAAAGTGGAACAGTTGTCACCAGTCGCAATAAATGACGTCGAATACATTAGAAACTGACGGAAATTAACCTCGTACCGTTGAAAACTGATTCATTTCCTGTGAGACCCCATGTTCCTTCATTCTATCTGTTGTGGGGTTGTTGATTCTCACTGTTGAGGGGTGCCAGACTAGGACTAAATCGCTATTTAGTTCTCCCTGGTTCTCAGATACACCTCGACTGAGATCAGTTAGTGACGAATACAACCTACAAATTAAAACAATCTATACAAGAACCTTTAAACTAAAATAGGCATTTTATATATATTCGACAATCACTGATTAATGAATGACTTTGCCAATGTATGCATCGGTTAGTCTTCTGTTTAAATTAACATGTCTTTTTCTCCTCCTCTTCTCTCTCTGGATTTTATTTAGTATTCATCATCACTATTCTAAACAATAATATTTCATTGTTTATATTCCTTAGATTTGACGAATTGTATTTTTGTTTTGTTTCTATCCTTTCCCTCTTTACTGCTGTTTCGATAATCAACATTCAATATTAATAAAACAATGCAACAATTTTCAGCACCTTCACCATCAATTTCACATCGGTTATCATCATCTAACAAGAAACTGAAATCAAATGAAGATGATCATTATTATTCATCTGATGTTACTGAACAAAAGAGTGAGTAATTTATGATTTAATATCTTTTTTCCTTTTACTTGTTAATATTTTAACGAAGTGAATTTTAAGGAAGTGTTATCTTACCGATAACTATATTATGTATTTTTTATTGTATGCTTAAGTTATTAACTGAAGCTGTAACTAACTGCTCACTAGTAGAAACTTGGTTTCTGTATCTGTAAAGGATAACATTTTTCGTCTGATTACCTCTGTATGCATTTAGTTGTTCATTTGCTTCTTTTGAGCAAAGCGCATAGACTATATTCAGCACTTGCTTTCAATTCGCATACAAGAACATATCACTGGGGGATTCTACAACGGTGAGAGGAAAGCAGTTAGAAATCCCATACTTGAATATTTTATCGATCCCAATCTCTACTGATCCACAGGTTAATTCTAAAGTTGTTTATACAATTCGTCTAAATCTATTTAGACTTCTTTGTATCCAACTCCTTAAAAATAGAAAAAAACTCACCATCCATGCAATCAAATCGGAACTGTGCGTACAAAAGAAGTTCGTCTTATTTTTTCCATGGTCTTGAACTATTAGTATTATTATTTTTAATATCATTATATTTCTTATTCGAAAATATCCCCCTCTCTTTAGTTATTACTCATATCCCTATGATTTCATTCGTAAATGTTTCTGATATCCCTTCATTTCAGTTTACCCATTACCCTTAATTATTTTAAGGAAACCATTTTGATTATCTTACTCCATTCACGTTCTAATCCGCTGTTATATTTGGTATTCCCATTCCTCCAACTTAGAAGTGATCTGGATTAAAATAACCACGCATCGATTGAAACTCGTCAGTTAATCGCATTTGATTGTAAATATCAAATTAAATGTACGTGGATGGACATGGGGTAAGAAACCCTATCCTGTAGAAAACAATCTTGCTAAGAAAATGCTAACTGGAAAAAAACTTTTGACCACTTAAACCCTTTCTTAACGGTTGAGGGACCTTTATTTACAGAGTTTTGACGCTTCATGATGGAAGCTGAAATTCTTCGGAATTCATGAGGCAGATGCCTTTTCTAACAACCAAAGCAACAATTAGCATAGGTACATAGAATATCCGCACAATCAAGTGAGACCGATAGGACCATTCAAGTAGCTGCAGTAACGAACAAGTGAAATCCATTGAACAGAAGAAACTATCTCTGGGAGATTTGCTGTTGTACTCTGGTCATGAAGAGGAAGTTTCACTGACACTTTCCAAAAAAGCACGAAAAGCACCTATGAGATAGGAATCTCATGAATCTGGAATCATAAAAGCATCTTTAAAAACAAAGAAGTAGTGGATTAAAATGAATGTCATCTAATATGATGCACTCACCAATAACAACAATGAAGGTGATTAAGATCAGTTTTATATGAAGCTGTTGTCTATTGTAGAGAATTCTATCACCCAGACACGAAGTACAGCAATTACTTGAATAACTCTTTTAAAGTTATTAATAAGTGGATCCGACTCCGTGTTATTTAAATTTACAGACGTCAAATCTGTCAGAAGGCTTTAACCTGATCTTTTTATTTAAAAGCAGTCGGTTGTCAGCCATCGCTACTTTGGTAACATCTTGACCCTTTTTCCAACTAATTATTATGATAATTTAATGAATTGGCCTCACTCGTTTAATTTTCCTTGTTAAGCTTAAAAAATTTGTTTGGTCAAATTACACAGTCGTTCTAATATACTGGAACTATTAGCTCAATCAATAATAAAATGAATCCTGCTTATTAAAACTTAAATTCTTAACTTTCTTCATATTACACATTAGCTTATTCGTTATTGATTATCAATTCATTTTTAACATTATAGCTTTTATACAATTTATTAGAAAGAGACGAAACTCAACGAATTCATCGCGTCCTCTTATCGATATCATCATTACTGTTTAAGTAATATTGTTCTAAAAACTAGTACAGTTTACAAAGCTTTTTTTAATCTAGCACTTGTACAAATCATGTAGATATGCAGGGGGATGGTATTTACGCTCTTATCTCCGGTTATTCTCTTCCAACAAATGGAACATTCGTGTCACATATGTCATAAGAAATATTGTCAATCAAATCATGGGGGATGGCCTAATGTGTCGTCTAATCAACTTCAACTCTCACCTATCAAACTACTGCTTATTCCTTTTATTCATAGTGCATGGAACCCTTCTGTTAAACTATAATGGTTCATTATTATATATTCGAAAAATTGAAACGAAATAACTGTTACTACTGGACAGTCAACTGCTTTTTAGTTTTAGACATTACAGCTTTAAATACGTTCACAGTACATTTCAATTTACGTTTTCGCTGCTCTTATTAATAAAACTGAACACATTTAATGGTATATATATATATATATATATATATATATATATATATATATATATATATATATATATATATATATACTTAAGTGAAATTTGTTTCTGTTGTATCTAACTAACACTCCCTGCATAATTTTTGTTTGAAAATAGAAAATTATCGACCTTTTTCCATATTGATCTTAAGTAGCGTCGTTAGAATAATTTACTTGTCCCTCCACTGTTTTTACTCAGATTGTCAATTTCTTTTATTGATTTCACCATATAAATATTTATATGCTCTATTTGTTCTGATGACTTCTTTCAGTGAAATACTGTTGTTATTAAAATTAATGGGGAGTTTATGTCAGTATTTATCTCTTCCTATTACTGTCGTCTTCGTTTCCAGGTCATACTGGTCCATTCAATTCAGCTTTTGATAGTACAATATTAGCTGTAACGGAGAATGATGATATTTGGGGGCAATTGGAGTATATGCATTCCACTTTGAGTAAGAATTTTCTTTTCTCTTAAAATTAACCATCCATGCTCTTTTGTTGTTAGCTGTAATAGAAACAGTTCATTTCTTTTAATTGAATTTTGTGATCGACATTCCAAAAAAGTTTAGTTTTTTTAAATCAAGTTTTATTTATTTTTTAAAAGCCGTAATTCTGTTATAAATATGATCAGTATTGTGTATTGCACGCTAATTGCTAAGTTTATAATTGTTTCTTTCTACTATCTAGTCACCTTAGAGTATGTACCAAACATTTCAGATAAACAATTTTTCACACGTTCAATTGGAGAGTTTTTGTTGAAAACGATTCTCTTTGCGAGGAATACAACATACAAAATTCAATAAGTCATAATTTATGAGTTCTTTTTCTGATAACTTAAAAACATTTGTGGTGATTATTGAATTTCATAGAAATCATGAACAGATCGATGTTAAACACGTAATAAAAAAGCTGAGAGCACTAGATGACCGTTTCATTCTCGTTTGGGAGTCCTCAGGAGTGTTTATCCACAAAGCTACACAGATTCGAACCCAGTACTGTCTAGCGCTTCCAATTTTTCAATGGTCGTCTAACACTGATTGGTTCATGATTTCCATTAATAACTGTATTTCCAATCTCTCTTATTTATTGTGACTGATTAGCTAGTTTTTCTCCAGCATACTCTGTTTCCTTAAAAAACTGATCGATTAATTCCAGGTAATTTGTCATACGAATCATAAGTATATTGGTTTTTTCTGTACTACTTGATTCCATTTTTATTGTATCCGAAATTATGTCCTATATGAGCACTGATGTGATTATAGTGAATATAATTGGTAATTCACCTCAATTATTTTTAATAACGTACAGTCAGAAATAATAGATGGTGAAATTGGGAGAAGTTAAAATATGAGAAGGGAAAACAAATTAGGATGATTATTGGTTTGTTAAAAATATCATAGCGGAATGATTGTTTGAGACTGCGCTTCATTATGAATTTCATAAGCGAGTGATCAAGAAGATTCACTCACATGACAATTTGATACAGTATATATATATATATATATGTCATCAACATTAGTACAGAGGGACGTCGAAATATATATGCTCCACAAATCATTAAATCTCTGTGTTGGACTGGGATACTGCTTATTTACACAAATTGAAGCAGGTCGTTTACTCAGAAGGCTACTCCTGTAGCCTTTGACCTATAGGTGTAATCCACAATCCAGTGAAGAGACGTTAGTAGATTCGATTTCATGGTGGGCGGTGATCAACAATTTATTTACACACCATCTCTTCCCTCAGTATTATGAAGCCCATGTACACTCTTAGTTTGGAATCAGTGTTTCCATCTGCCGTATGTGGACTCTCCGTGTCCACAAACCCGGTTAAAGCACCGGACATCCACTTTTCGTCAATATCACCATCTTCACTAGAATGCAGTGAGTAGGATTTCGCTGAGTGTGGCTTCATATGAGGATTTCGAGTGGGAGCGTGGACTCTGAATACCCTCAGTTGTTACCGGGCATTCGTGTGCTAACTAACTAGATGGTATGCTGATGAACATGTAATTACTTAAAAATATGTAACACAACTGTTCAAACTGTATCAGGAGAATTTGCTTGAAGATTGACTGTGACTAATTGTTAATGTATATTTAAATTTAAAATATCCAAAGCTGTGCATAAGTATTTTAAGAGCAGTATTTTTACTGCAGTGGGATATTTCTGACTGATGAAACACTTTTATTTCAGTTTCGATTCTCAGTTTGACTAATATGATATATACCTTCATTGTATTACCAAGTAAAAGAAATGAGAAATTTCAATATACATATTTATGTTAGCAAGTTGGCACGAATACATACAACGAACGCCATAATCTATTGATTTATTATAGAAAAAAGTATGGATGACCTTGTGAATACCCACAACTGTGTTAATATTTGCTTAAACTTAATTGGTACATATGATCATTAATACATTCACATATTTTCTTTCTTGTGTGTATACTATTGTGTCACAAGTTTATCAGCATATATATAGGTCACGTAAAGCAGTTATTGTGTTTGACTCTACAATTTTAACTACACATTTCATGTTTTTAATACGAAATTAATTATCAAATGTATTTTATTGTGATGCAAGATTTATGTAAATAGTTGTGAAAAATAAGCACATTTAAAGAGTTAAGAACGGTTACTTTGTTCGATGTTTTATTTATTGCTTAAGCTTATTTAGCTATTGTTCATCTTTTGCTTCCAATAATATGTACGTTAATACGTACGGATATGCCGTGATGATCTTAGTGATTTAAGGCTGAAGAATTCAGTTTTGGACAATATAGTTCTATTATTAGCAACCACATAAACTCGATATGATATGAAAACTGGGATTCCCAGGCTATTGCATTTGATAAATGATTTATATCCGTTAGCTATTTTACAGATATTTTTGTTGAACCATGAACAGTTGTTTGAATTACAAATTGAATACATAAATGAACTCATTTTATTTGCGTATATTTCAGTATTAATTTGAATAGTTTATTAGGAAAATGGTTAACTTAATTCTTTAAATGCTTTACTTCAATGTTCAATACTAAGACTTTTTTCACTTTATCTTGAAGTTATCAATTTTTATGCCCTTTTTTTCCTTCTTTTACAACATAAATAATTGCTTCTGGATAAAATAAAATAAATTGAATTTTTCTTGTCGCTATGATTATTTTCAATTTATTAATTTTATTTAAATAGCATAAAAACAGATGAATTCAACTTTATAGGATTGACATTTCATCGGATAAATCTTTTTCTTTTCATGTCAATATGAAGTTAGTAATCTTGTTTCTATTTTTTCAAGAAAATAAATATTATGTTATTCGATCTTACCTCGTACGATTATATATATATATATATATATATATAAATTCTCCACTATTTCATCGTTGTAATGATATTATCTCCCTACTCATTCTGAATAGATTAAAAGTTTTTTATCACAGCTATTCAGTTTAAAGTAATTTTAGTCATCTTATATCTTTCGAAACAATAAACCGTGTGCTTTTATTATTGAAACCTATTAATAACCCCTGCAAATTGGCATTTTATTCTGATATTATTTTTAGTTTAGCAAATTACGTTATTTGCCTGGAGTTCATAAAGTCCCAGTATTCTAAAAGCTTTTGTCAATTTTCAATGTATTCTTAGTTCAACGATTTGTAGCTATCGCTCACTTTTTTTAAGATCTGACTATGATTATTGACATGAAGGAGTTGAATTCTTCAAATTAAGAATTGTTACTGGATTTTATAGCAACAGTTCTCTTTATATATTTTGTAAAATGCCATATTTTTATTACTTTTCGCCTTCTGTAAAGTTCAGCGAATTAAAACAAATATTGTTCACAAATTACGAGACTGCCAACTAGCTACCAAATACAGATCGATAACCACTTACTAACTACCTCCAGCCAAATTATATTATAACACAGTTCATGAAATGTTATATCACTTAAACTAGTATCCACATTCCAACTTAAGTGCATCATGATAATGTAATTTAAAATATTGTTGCTCTTTTCTTTTACACAACTTAAATTACAATGATGATCTATTCAATAATATGACAGTTTAGAATTTCATTCACTAAATTATTATGGGACACCGGTTAACAAGGGAGTGCATCTTCTAATGTTACTCTACCGCATATGGATTACACCTCTAGGTTAACGACTCGAAATCCACTTACTTCGGTATGGGCACGTGAGTAGTATTTCAGCCCTTACACAATGATTTGTGTGACGCACATATATTTGGTTCGTCCTCATAACAATGTTTATGTGTTTGAATAAATAAATAAAATAACTTTAAAAACAGCTCTTCCATTTCTTATCAGGGTGTTTTTCTTTATCTTCTAGTCCACTATCAACCCTCCCATCTTCGACTGATCAAATGATTTTCCATCATTTTCCCAATAGAATATTGAAAACATTTTTTCTTAATTAAAGTAAATCTAGTTAAATTTGTTACAGGTCAATGACTACATTTTATTCTGGTTTACTCTGTATCAACGAATAAGTTATTTTTCTCAATTGTCTTTAGGCATTATAATACTTTATAGCATGAAGTAATGTGGATTAGTGAATTGTGAATAGATAGTTTTCTATATTGTGTAAATTGGAGTTATCATTTTGCAAGAGATTAACCTCACCTATTTGAGACTTTTTTAAAAGAGTTGAATGACCAAATGAAAACCAATGACATTCTACTAGTGTGTATTGTTGCCTTGAAATCGGAACATCTGAAGAATACCTTTCTAAATTGAAGCAGAATATTTTTTAAATCTTTCAACCAGTAATGGATTTTTTCGACCATATATATATATATATATATATATATATATATATATATATATTGCATATTCAGAAATAAACATTTTTACATGTTGTTTAATTTGAAACTATATGCACAAATCTAGGTCCTCAAGGTACACTTTCGGATCGTATAAATAGTCAAAAGGGTATGATTTATTGCACTATGTTGCGATCTACCGCCTTCAATGTTAATCCTATTGTAAAAATTTCGTTGTTTCTTTTTCTGTAATATAGCGCTTGGTGTAAATTCATTTGATATTCATGAATATTTATATATTTTTGTATGTGCTGTATCTAACCACATATTGTTCCATTTGAATGTTATAACCATTCTAAATATATGCATGAAAGACATGATTTCTTGTGTTTATTTCTAATTTTAATGATTTATCAAGTACATATTTATATACTGAGCTTTTTATCACGTCTTTTTTGTGAGTGTTGTTCAATGGTGCTGTTAATTACTTGCTGAATGATTGTTTACTGAGCATGGCATTAATCTTTCAATCATCTAGTCAGTTGTTTCAACTCAGCTTTACATACATTAGTTCAGTTGTCCAGGTAATGCTACTCATACAAAAGATTCTAATTATGTTATATTCATTAAATAAAGTTGCGTGTTTTTGTAATTTCTTGATTATGTGGAATCATATTCTCGATGGAATAATCTATTAAACTTTTCAGGAGCATAGAGTTTTTCAAACTTATAGCATCGTATATTATGTTTGTGATGTGCAAATACTGACAAACAGCTTCTTTATATATATTTTACAAAATATCCACCTTACGCTTCATTTAAAGTGAAATTCATATTGATAATTTTATTATCAGAATAGAAGTTTGTGAAGATTGTAATTATTTAATAGTTGAATGCATGAGTTGATTTAAGCTAGAACACCGTTAAAAACCTGGAAGTATTGGATGACCGTTTTTTCCATGTATGGAACTCCTCAGCAGTGTGTATCCACCGGTAGTTTCATGAATTCAACTATTAAATGATAGGTTTATGTTATAATGAAATGCTTGTTGTAAACATTTAATATTCTTGAAGTTTAATGCGTGAAATGTCTTCAGCAATGGTCTTATTTCTTTGAAAATTTATCATACATCAACAGACTGTTTTTACACAAGAAATTTACTTCAATCCAAATTTTTCTGAATGTGATTAGTTGTAGAATCATTGAAAAAAATTGTTTCCCTCACTATAGGCAACAGTGTTTTTTTTTTCATAACTACATATTATTTCAAGGTGTCATTTCATTAGAACGTCTTTATGCTTGCTTTTATTTTGTAGCTATAATTTTTGGGGGTTTTGTATTGTATTTTGCTGTATTTTTTCATATATACATGATTTCATTAGTGGTTATCAGTATATATGTTAACATAATGTAGGATTTAGCACAGTGGTGTGAATTTCGCAAAGGTGAATAAGATTGTTTGTTGCACTGATATTTCTTTTGTCCGTTTCATACTGTTGTATTCTTGTTTCGCTGACATTTACAACTTAAAAAGAGGAATGGTTCCCAGTTTTCAGGAATCCTTTCTTAAAAGATAAGCATTATCTACAACAGTCCACTCTCGATTACTTCACGACTATAGGCTGTATTTGATGAAAATGAAAAAAGGTACTCGATCAATAACTTTCTTTGATACACTGATCAAATGTTTTTTAAAACTCAATATGACGTTTTTGATTTAGAGTAATAATTTGATGAGCCTGCTTGCATACTTAGCTCGGTTTCACGCGATCAACTCTTCATCACCATCTGATTTAGTTAATTTTTATTTATCGTGACTCATCCGAAAATTAAAGTGGATCAATTCTATTTTATATACTAAATGTTGCACATCCAAGAATTTTAGGTTTAGATACTTTGCTTGACTTCATTTACGAGATTTATTCAAATAATCTGACAGATCTACACATAAGCGTGCCTTATATTGTAGAAGTTTTAGCCACTCTCAATTTAACGCCACAGTTTTTATGTGCTTAACGGTATGACCCTAATTTTACTATACTTGGTAATGTTTACAAACATGCCCTGGTACGGCCGAGAGTAGAGAGAGTCCCCTCTCCCTCTCGAAATACTCTCACATGACCATGCGTATACACCCACTTTCAGGGAAGTTCTACTCACTGCCTTCTCGCGGCAAGGGTGTAGTTTACAAAAACAAATGTCCGGTGCTTTAACCAGGTTAGTGGATATGGAAGATCCACCTATGGGAGTTGGAAAATTCTGATTCCAAACCAATGGTGCACACGGGCTCCTGGATACAGAGGGAACTAATGACGCATAAATCAATGATTGGTCATTGGCTACCATGGGACTGCATCTCATGACCTTGCTCCACTGCCTCGTGGATCAGACCTTTATGTTGAAGGCTTCAGATGTTGCCCCCTAAGAAGATCACCTGTTTCGACCTGGGCATCCTAGCAGTATCACTGCCCACACACAAATCAAGTGAATTTTGTGGCGCATATGTATTCGGTGCACCTTTGTACCAATAATATTAAAGTATCTTATCAGTTCCTATTTTATATATCTAGTTAACTATCATCAAAAACGTAAAAGAAACTAACCGGTTCGCCCGTAACCTCGGTTATATTTCCATCTTGTTTTGTTCAACAGTATATGCAGACCAAGTGGGTGCCTCGATATTGTCTACAGATACATATTTTAGTAATATTCTCTCGATTTTTTCTTAGTAGCTAAGTCTGACACTCATGATTTGTTCTATTTGAAACTAGTCAACTGTATTGTTTTAGTGGGAGTATAAATGATTCCTACCAGTTCCTAATAAGATAAATGTCCAACTCATATTCCACTACACTGACTGTAATCTAAAAATCATCTACAAACATAGTTAAACTCATTTAATGAATTGATTATTATTGTGAAAATGTTTATTATTATCACTTACTTACTCCTGTTACTCCCCATGGATAGACCTCGGCCTCCCACCGGGATTCTCCATCGAAGTCTGTCCTGGAGACTCCTTTCCATTTGCTGTTCATCCTTTCGATGTCTGCTTCCAATTCTTGGCGCAGTGTGTTCTGCGGTCTTCTTTTTTGTTTTCCTTCTGGATTCTAGGTTAGCACTTGCTTCGTGATGCTATTACCATTATATAAAAAAATGTATTCAACCTTCAATTAGCATAGTTTTTCTGATCTCTTGTCCATTTATGTTTCGTTCTTTCTTTTCTCTGTTAAGTGCTTGTATAATAATTTCTTTAATACTTATAACAATTTCAAACTTAGTTTTAATGTACTAAATATCAATGTTGGAGCATTTCATGTAAGAATTTATGATGGTTTTGAACGGATAAACATTGCATCGAATTAACTTGTCTGTTTGTTTATTTTTGTATCTGCATATGAAATTTCTAGTACATTATTATTATTATTATTATTATTATTATTATTATTATTATTATTATTATTAATGATTGTGTGCCAAAACAGAAAAATTGATTTAATGACTTATAGTTGTGTTTAACAACAGGATATTAATAATCTGTTTCTCTTGAAATCTCTTTTCTTTGTTGATTGTTCATTTATTTGTTTATTTATGTATTGATTGGTAGTTGTTACTGAGTGATAAGAAAACAGCATTTCACACGATAGAGTACACATCAAAGAAGCGTTTATGTTTGTATGTCAACTAGCATGTATGTGTGTACATGGTTTTTCACTTTGATTCTTCAGAGAAATTAATCTCGTTAATCAGCGGCGGTTTCTTTTTTTATGCCTTAAATGGTTTGTAATCAATAAACACCATTATTGTTATTATTAGTTGCAGTTTTGACCTGTCCATTATCCAATTTCTAATTTTCCATCAAATAGCAAACAATTGAAAGTTTGTTATTCTGTGTCATCAATAAAAATTTATGTATACAGTATGATGACTGTTTAGTGTTTTATGAAAATCTAGTACCTTGTATGATTCCATGAAATATTAGTTACACTTTTGTTCTCGTTTAAATGTAATTTAAAACTAAATGAATTAATTACACTGTTTAAAGTGATTCAAAAATAACTTTCATATTAAACTATTTAACACATTTTGTACTATAAGCGAAATGGACGGTACCTTGCAGTGGAATCCAAGGCTCGTTTTTCGTCCTGCATCCCAGAGTTGATGTTCACTTCGAGACTCAAATGTCATCATGTTATCCTTTTAACTACTGAGTCCAGAAGATCACTAGCTTGTACAATGGGGTGACAACAGACTGATCAATTGCAGTCCTAAACATCAATGAGTAAGATTCAAACAAACAATACAAAAACGAACATTTTGTACTGTTCAAATGGTTTTCTATTCAATGATTTAAACTACGAATGAAGCTTACATTTTGACTCTCATCAACATCAACTAAATTAACAAAGTGGTTTTTATGATTTGTTGATGAGTCCAGGTGGATGACCTACTTCCAGTAACTTTTTTTTATTCCATGCATGTATTCATGTACACTGTGCAATCTCTGATGATGATTTATTAATGTGTGTTGTTTCCGTGTTTTTTTTTCCATTCCAAAAGACTTTAAAATAACCTGAAATACAATGAGATTTGTAGTTTTATGTCTCTTTTACATTTATATCACATGATTATTACAAATATATTATTTCTATTATTGTATAATCGTTTTTTCCACTAACAAAGTAATAACTTTTTTCAACTAAGCTGGTCAAAGATTTGAACGCTTCATAAAGACTACCAGATAATATCTTTAATAACATCCATACTACATCTTATGCATGAGGCCTAATAGCTGTGTGTACATGATTTGGTTTATTCTAACTCGTGTTATTAATAGACATACATAGGTTTTCATTACTGGACAGTTATAAACTACAAAATGATATCAGTTAGATCTTTTTCTGTTAATGATTTTCAGCATATATGTATGTATGCAAATGTATTTTCGTTGTACATAACTTATATTTATGTATTTCATGTCATTTTATCAATTTATAACTATTGATAGGTGAACTATACATTTTCAAATTGCAAATTTTTGTACTTGTCGGTCCGTTTATATACCTATTAAGCTAGCATGATCGTATACTGATTTATTTTTTAATTATCTAATACATGTATTGTATATCTTATTGAATTCAGTACTTGAATTGTTCATACCGTATCAATATTTCCTTCTATTTGCTGCTGGGACCACCCCAATTTTCAGGTGATGAGAATACAAATGAATTTATCGCTACTCAAACTAGTTCTGTCTTGGAAACTATCTCCCCGAAATCTGTGCATAATGTAAGTATGCAAATGTTAATTTCTGTTTAAAGTCTTTCCACTTCATTTAATAGTTCGTCAAGTAATTAAGCAACAAATAAAATACTCAATAGTATGCTCTCTATTACTCCTTCCATGTGGAAGTAAGAGATGTGCATGTATTTAATTACAGTTATCTTTAAAACACTACTCGATTGAAGGGAACAATTGAGTAAACAATGATGTGTTTGGCATGAGGTTCTAAGAAAAGATAGCGACCGGTTGTTGAGGTTGTAAGTCTTCTCTGACTGAGTTGTCTGAGATATATGTAACATATGTTCAACCATTGCTTACCGCGATGCGCAGTTATTCATATAGTAATGATTCGTTGTTTGAATAAAATTATCACTTGACATAACATCAATTTGAAAGGAATGAAATCCTCTTGCGTTAAAATAAAATTAAATCAGACTACTAATGTGTAATATGATGAAAATCACCATATGGAAGATATAACATACTTAGTAGCTATGTTATTACTTATTTATTTGAACACATAAATATTGGTACAAGAGGGCACCAAATATATATGCGCCACACAAACAATGAGAATTTTAAGAGAAGGGAAAAAACAACAAAAGAAGCAGACGGTAAGGAGCGTAAGGGAAAAAAAGAACAATAACGAAAAGATTAGTGTAAGGTAGTGTAATAGTAATAATAATAATGGGGGAAATGAAAAGATAGAATCAGAAAAAATCTTACAATTAAGGAAGAAGCAACCACTTTTTACGAAGAAAGAAAAAGGTTACAGCAGGATCGCCATTGGCTTCTATTCTGAGCCATATCTGATGACGTCTCTAGTCACTGTGTTGCACCATCCTTAGGACCCCAACCAGGGGGTCGTGAAGGACCAACAGAAGCCAGCCTTTTACAGCTCTCTTTTATACCATGACACCATGTCATACACTGACCACCTCTCCGCTCTTTCCAACCAGTCCCAGAGTCGGCAAATAATGCACGACGTGGAATTCTCTGGAACGACATTCGTAGAACATGTCCAAGCCACCGAAGTCAGTGTTTCAAGATGGTGACGCCAATTGCATTATCGCCTCTGTGCCCGAACACACGATGCCGAACCTCTGCATTACTGACATGGTGTTGCCACTGGATGTCAGCAATCCTTCGGAGACAGCGATGAGCGAACACAGGGAGACGTCTAACATCCTTAACTCGGAGAGGCCAGGTTTCACAAGCATAGAGCAAAACTGCTCTCACCGACACGTTGTAGATCCGACCTTTTACAGCCAGACTGACATCACGAAGGCGCCAAAGGTGGCCCAGATTGGCATAAGCCGCTCTGGCTTTCACTATACGTGCATTGATCTCATCACTCACGCCACCACCAGCACTTATGCAGCTACCCAGATACACGAACTTCTCGACCACTTCTATCTGCTCACCATCCAGAGTGAGTACAGGATTAGAATCCTGCCAGTCTTGTAGAAGTACTTTGCACTTCGAAGGTGCAAAGCACATACCATACCTACGGACATTGATTGCCAACTGATTAAGTGTGGATTGCATGCCTTGGGCATTATCGCACAGTAAGACAATTTCATCCGCATACTCAAGGTCGAGAAGTCTTTTTCCAGGCAACAGATCCACACCACCATTACTTAGATCCATCAGAGCTGTTTCCAGAATGTCGTCGATGGCAAAGTTCGAGAGGAATGATGAGATTATGCAACCCTGTTAACCCCACTGCTTGAATGGAATAATGGAGAAAGGTGGTTGTATGCCCTCACTCTGTCTGAGGTGTTTGTGTATAGGGCTTTTAGGGTGTTAATAAACTTCTCACGCACACCCTTCTTCAATAGACAATCCCAGAGAACAGTTCTGTCCAACGAATCGAAGGCAGCCCTGATATCAAGAAGCACTACGATTGTTGGCCTTTGATAAGTATGGTGGTGTTCTAACATTTGGCGGAGGGTGAAGATATGACCAATACATCCTCGACCGGAACGAAACCCAGCCTGCTCCTCGCGAGTCAATCTTTCTCGGGTTTTGAACAACCTACGAAGTATGACGGAAGCCAATAGCTTGGACGCAATCGGAAGTAGACTTGTCCCCCGATAGTTGTTACAGGAACGACATGAACCCTTTTTAAAGATAGTTACAACTATCGACTCATTCCACTCTCTAGTTCCCAGACCTTTGCAAACAACGTCGTCAGTCCCTTGGTCAGAAAGTCACCACCATCTTTAAAAAGAGCCGGAGGTAAGTCATCTGGGTTCGGTGATTTGTAATGTTTCAAGAGTTGGAGTTCCTTGCGGACTTCCGCCTCATTTGGTGGATCAGTCGTCACCGGCCATGGAGGGCAGGACAGTCTGACCGACGTTGCTGGAGCAGCAGGCAAGTTGAACTGCCCTTCGAAAAATTCTGCCCATCGTCCAAGACGTCGATAGATGTTAGTGATTGGCGTTCCGTCATCTTCGCAGATTGTTTCGCTCACACCAGACTTCTTGCTGCCAGTGGCTCGGATGAGTTGGAAGAGCTCCCGGTAATTACCAGATGCAGCTGCTGCTTCCAGCTCATTAGCACGCTCCGACCACCAGGCTTCTCGGTTCTTACGCAAGCTTTGCCCGATTTCATTACGTAACATCCTTCGTCTGTGGTCAAATTCGCGGTCACCCGGAGTAGACCGACGGGCTTCGATGAGTTGTAAGGAACCAGAAGAAGCCCAGTGTTTGTAAGCGGGACGTTTCGCGAACCCACAACAGACTGTACCCGCCATTTTCATGGCGTCATGCAACTGCAACCAATGCCCATCTATACTTTTCGGTGGAATGGTAGCTAGCCTAGAAGCTAGCTCGGTTCGGTACTTACTAGCATTAGAAATTGCAGCCAGCTTGCTAACGTCAATCCTTTGGTGGCGGTCACTTCGTTGTCCACTGAAAAGTAAGGTAAGATTGGCGCAGACCAGAGCATGATCACATTCCAGATAGGTACTCGAAAAGGATCGGCAGTCTTGTACACAACCACGCCAGTGGCAGCTTATCGCGATGTGATCAATCTGAGTCCAGGCCTGAAATGCAGAAGGGGGACGCCAGGTGGCACATTGGCGATGACTGTGCCGAAAGTTAGTGCTAGCCAGAAACAGGTTGTGGTCTGTGCACAGTTGCAGTAGACGTTCCCCGTTATCTGTCCTGTGACCAACGAGTCCCCATCGACCACCTAAACGACTCTCTTCTGTGCCTAGACGCCCGACCTGAGCATTCAAGTCTCCGGCTAGTACTACAATATCTGTCGAACGCAATTTCTGGAGAAGAACAGTTAACTGGTGATAAAATTCATCTTTGACTGCATGCGGGCTGCAGTCTGTCGGGGCATAGGTGGAGATGACGAAAAGCCATCGTTTCTCACGCCGATTTCTTCTCACTTTGATGGAACTTTCCAATCTAACAGCACATAACCGACTGTTAATGGGGATCCATTCGATTAGTGCTTCCTCAGCTCTAGCGCTTAGTGCGACACCAACGCCAGCAAGATCGGATGAAGATGCGGGTTTCGGATAGAGAACAAACGTCAATATTAAGACTTTTCAAATACATAGCCAGCCCTATCTGTTGTCCGACCTGCATAAATGTGCGAACGTTAAAGGCAGCCAGTTTGAATGGTGCACGTGGTTCCAGAAAAACTGCTTCAGTACTCGTATTCGGTGGTAACGTACAATTTTCAAGCAGACAGTGACTTAGGTAGAGCCGAATTTTCACGAGTGGCGAGCTGCTGTATAAGTCGGAAAATAAGTTTACACAGAGTAGGGATAAAAGAGAGTGAATAAATGACGTGGTAAATAATAATAATAATAATAATAATAATAATAATAATAATAATAATAATAACGTGAGTCATTTGATTGCTATTCGGATCAAGAAGAATATTTTCCATAAATAGACAGTTTATCATTTCTTTTTTTGTGTGTGGGCTGTGATACTGCTCCGGTGCCCAGACAGAAGCAGGTGGTTTTCTTAGGGGGCCACACCCTGAGCCTTTGACCTGAAGATCTGATCCACAAGGCAGTGGAGCATCGTGAGGCGATGCAGTCCCATGGAAGCCGGTGACCAAGAAATTGGTTCGTACGCCATTTGTTCCCGTAAGATACTGGAGCCCATGTGCACCATTGATTTGAGATCCGGTTAAAGCGCCGGACGTTCGCTTTTCGTCCTCTCATTTTCGTAAAGAACACCCGTGGTGCGAGTAGGCAATGAGTAGGACTTCCTTGGCAGAGGCTATATACGGGTGGTCGTGTGAGAGTTTTTCGAAAGGGAGGGCGAGTCCACTTCATTCTCGGCCTTACCAGGGCATTTGGGGGCACACTTGTAATAATTGGATTGCTGTGTTGATGTAGTAAAAGAACTTGAATCGTTGCCCCTTATTGTTAGTCTTCACGTTAATTATAACTGACTGATTCAGTGTGCGTAATTGGACTCTTCTGTGGATTCTATTTCCATTTTTGTACTATAATATGAGTATTGTTTTCTTAAATAATTAAAATATTATCTACTTAGTTGTTTTGTTTTAATTTTTTTCCTTTCACGTGAAATCAATACTGGAAATATATCGATATAATCATTTAGATAAAGTTTATTTCTGTTCTCATACAATAAATATTTGTTTGTAGAGAATGAGAAAGAAAGCTAATATCAGTAATTTGTATGTAAAGGATTTGTTTGTGTCTGTCCATAATATATTATATTATACTAATTGATAATGATAGTATCTCATTATTAATAGAATAGTAGTAATAATCTTTTATCATATGAATAATTTCATGATTAATTGGACTATTGATGTTAAACATAATATCATAGAACTAGTTATTTTCAGTTTTATGATTAATATCATGAAAATTCATCAATTTTCTGTTATATGCTTAAAATAAAAGCTTATTATTATCATTTGTAAATCAAAATATTCCGTTGTAATCTGATTAGTATTTCATACTGACACATCTCAGTTATAGATTCGTGAAGGTTGTTGAGTTTTACTTGAGATCATGAACCAATCAATGTTCAACCATCATCTAAAAACTAGAACCACTGGACAACCGTTAACACCGTTGGATGCTGAGTTATTGGTCTAAAGGTTAAACGTTTGCGCGCGAGATTGAATGTTCTGGATTCGAATCGCGCTTGCAAGATCGTTGATATGGATTTAAAAGTAGTCGCATACCAAGACGATACGGGCGTCCAGTGCTTCCAGGTTTTTGATAGTGGTCTAACATTGATCGGTCCATGGTTTAATTTAAAATAGACACTCCTATTTAACTCTATTCACTCATTTAGGACAAAATATTTCTGCATATATAACAGTTAAGAATTCTTTATAATATTTTTATTTCACTAATTTATATTTTCTTGAATGGTATCTTCCAATTTTAATCTTTTCTGTTACCACTCTTATTGTTCCTTTCTTTATTATTCTGGGATTCCCCCCAACAGTTTCATCTAATGAGGTATGACCACTTGAACCTATGTCTATACGTACCAGATTATACATTGCGACTGACTAAGGTTTATTTTCCTAAACTTATCTGAGCTAACTAACAATCTTATCACAGATATAAAATTTAATATCCATCCAACAAAGTATATTTTTCATTTGAAAATAATATTATCGCTTGTCTAACATATAGATTGTTTACAGCAAAATGAGAAGTTGTACATGTATTGGTCGAGTTTACTTTCATTCACTGTTCAATATTGACTGTTGAGGATATCTTGATGTTGATTTAATTTTCCACCATATCTAGTTATATTTGTCAAATAAAACTGTAAAGTAGAATAAATTAATAGGAGCTTCGTGATTTTTTGTATCTTTTTCCTAATCGAAACAAAACAAAATTCGTTTCTAGACTGAAGTTCAAATGTTTGGAGAAAGTAGTCAACCTGATGGTGATTGGGATTTGGAAGTAGACAATATGGCAGTTATTAAGAAGCCAATTAATACAGGGTAGATTTTTCAATGCTTAGTTATATATAATGTAGATGTCTAAAGTTTTTAAATATATTTTACTTCTTTCATCGTTTATATATTGCGTAATTGTCGAGTCAGTCAAATATCATAAATATATCCGATGCTTGAACGTTCGGTACTGACTTTTAAAGTGCTTCCTAGTTCCTTTACAAATCTTCACTTGTGTTTCAAATACAGGACATAAGGCAAAAATTATGCGAGATTTATTTTTAACGTTAGTTTAGATGCAAAACGCAAAGATTTTTAGGGGTTGATATGTGACATTGGTATTCTGAAAAATGTCGAAATCAATAACTAAATCGGCAATCATCCAATGACAATATGATACATAGTCCGTTGGTTTTAGATATCTCGAGGAAGTTTCTACTGAACGCTAATTTCACTAAGTATCTTCAGTCTTTTCCAAGCTTTTGAAGACTTTTCTGATGAATTCTTGCCGAGTCCCAGTAAACCATATACACTAGGAACAGCAGCATCTGTTTCACTAGTAGTCTGAAAGAATTCTCGCCAAAAATTTCTTTGAATTTTAGTTTATCTTGAAAGAATCCACCAGAATTATATTAAGGCATTTAACTATGCTGAAATCGATTTTGTTACCGGCCAATCTGAAGTCAATTAAATCCATTAAATTAAATTTCTAGCAGTTATTGGATAATGTTTACAAAGTTTAAATATGTTCTTTGCAGTTCTTATTAGACAGAGCTGTACAGTATGTAATTCAGCTGACAATTTCATACTCGGATGTGTATAATCCGAGAATATTGTTGATTTTATTACAAGTTAATTTTAAATCGTTATCAAACATAAAACCTGTCCAATAAATGAATTGTCTGTCTGTTAAACTACAATACTTATTAAAATTTACTTGAGATTTATGTGAATTATTCATTCTAACTCTTAAACTTGACATCTTTGATCTGTTTACTATGTTCAAGATGATCATTAGTGAAACAGTTAATTTTTTTATATGTACATTTTTTAAACTGCTTTTCATTAAAAATGATAAATAGATTTTTAGTTTCATTTATCGCGGATGCTCGCGGAGGTCTAATTCAAGCAAGACGTTATCCTGATCTTAGGATATTTATTCCTCCAAATGTTATCAATGGTCCACTTCGTATTGTTTGTCGTCTAGTTCATCCTGATCGCATGAGTTCACCACCTATTATGAATGATGGTGATGGTTTAGCCTGTCGGTGAGTTTTATTCTTTAAGTAAAAATAAATCAGTGTTCACATAATCAAGTTGCTTATCAATTACTTGGGTATAAGAATGATTAATTTCGCAATTAAATTATTTTTTGGTTCAAATAGTTTATTGATATTGATTGACAAGTTTTACTACATTATGAAAATTTTCAGTTTTTTAGGTTCCTTTTTTTCCAAGAGTTTAATCCCTTGAAATACTAATCCTTCTTCAGATAATATTCATTACAGTTATTTGGAGATAAGTAACGTAAGAAATTGTGTTTGTTCGATCTGTCTAAATCCTTAACATCATAGTTAATTAGTATATGTTGCCATTCTTTGTCTAAATATGTCGATGTCATTGACTTTAACCTTTTAAAAAATATTAATTTTCGCTTTGATCTTTACTACTTGAATTATATTTCTGATATTTACATCTCCATTTTGTTTTCTTGTAATTCGCCTTCTTTTTCTTATGTTGTTAATTTACTCTCTCGTTATTCTGATATTGAGGTATGTGACAATGTGGACGTTAATATATGTTTGCACTAGTTTGTACTTTAATTAAAATCGATTAACTTCTCCAATAACACAGTTATGTTTTGTGAATCAGTTTCAACTTTTGAAGATGTCTTTTTACAGCTCAATTAAGCAGTTCCAGTCAGTTTCATATTTTTCAGATTACAGTTGTGTGTTTCTCATAGCGCGGAAATTATTTTAATTTGGAAAATTATTCGAATCTCGCGTCCGGAGTCATGGATGTGCACTGCCGAGGAGTCCCATACTAGGATGAAACGGTCGTCCAGTGCTTCCAGGTTTTCTAACCTAGATCGACTCGTGAATTTAACTGCGAAATTTAATAAATAGACAAGCAAACTAAGTCGCTCCATCGCATAAATCTCACATCATTATTGTTGAAATCAACCTATATTCAAAGTAAACAGTCTTCATAAAATTATTTTAGTCTTTAGATTATTTACTTGATATTTAGGACGGCAATTGATCAGTCATCTATTGGTATATGTGCATACCGCGCGTATTATCTTGATATTGTCTTAATTCACAAGCAGTATAAGCAAAGATGGACAGCTGCTAGAAGTGGAATCTAGGATGCAGGTTTCGTCATATTTGGGATTCATCAGCCAGATATATCTGCATCTCAATGTAGATGTTCACTACGGGACTCGAACCCAGTACCGTTTGCTTCCAATGCCATCGCACTATCCACTTAGCTACTGAGTCCTGATAGCCACTTGCTTGTTCTTAAACAGGATTTGAACTCATTGAAAACATTTTAGGAAATCTCTCATATATACTCAGCTGTTGCACTGTGCATTTTAGCATTACATCATTAATACTTCTGATTGTTTCAAACATCTCTACTAAAATGTAAAAAAATTTATTTTTTGTAACCTTATTTATTATTCTATTTCGTGCAGGTTACTTGAAATTGGACCCGCTGGTATACGATTTGCTTCACCTATTCTCTTGGAAATACCACATTATGCTTTTTTAAATGGGAAAAATCGTGAGATTGTTATCCTTCGTTCAGATAATGGTGAAACATGGAAAGAGCATCCATTGGATGCTACAGACCAAGCTGTTCAAGACACTTTGAATGGACATTTTGGTAAACTCTTTCGTTAGGTTTTTTTTGGTTCATAAAAATTTCATTAAATGTAATTGGTACAGCAAATCATTTCTGTAATCATTAAACCTATATCTACGGAAGTGACTTTTGGCACGTTTTATACTTGCCTATTTTATTGTTATCATGTCTATTGTATCAATCACGTTTAAGTATTAACTAAATCGGGATATGATCTCAGTTTTATGACCTTCATTCCTCTTTATATATTCACTTAGTTGGGTCACAAAATTACGAAGGTCACGAATTACTAGTTCGTTTATACCTTTATGACCTCAAATATGAGTCTTTAATCCTACTGGTTGAAACACCGCTTTCTCTGTCTCCCCAATCGTTAATCAGAAGTCAAATACGACAAACCTTTTATTATTATTATTATTATTATTATTATTATTATTATTATTATTATTATTATTATTATTATTATTATTATCATTATTATTATTATTATTGTTATTATTATTATTATTAATTATTATTAATTATTATGATTATTATTTATTATTATTATTATTATTATTATTATTAATTATTATTATTATTATTATTATTATTATTATTATTATTATTATTATTATTATTATTATTATTATTATTATTATTATTATTATTATTATTATTATTATTATTATTATTATTATTATTATTATTATTATTATTATTATTATTATTATTATTATTATTATTATTATTATTATTATTATTATTATTATTATTATTATTATTATTATTATTATTATTATTATTATTATTATTATTATTATTATTATTATTATTATTATTATTATTATTATTATTATTATTATTATTATTATTATTATTAGTATTATTATTATTATTATTATTATTATTATTATTATTATTATTATTATTATTATTATTATTATTATTATTATTATTATTATTATTATTATTATTATTATTATTATTATTATTATGATTATTATTATTATTATTATTATTATTATGATTATTATTATTATTATTATTATTATTATTATTATTATTATTATTATTATTATTATTATTATTATATTATTATTATTATTATTATTATTATTATTATTATTATTATTATTATTATTATTATTATTATTATTATTATTATTATTATTATTATTATTATTATTATTATTATTATTATTATTATTATTATTATTATTATTATTATTATTATTATTATTATTATTATTATTATTATTATTATTATTATTATTATTATTATTATTATTATTATTATTATTATTATTATTATTATTATTATTATTATTATTATTATTATTATTATTATTATTATTATTATTATTATTATTATTATTATTAATTATACTATCCACAACTTAAAGCTTATTAGATTACGTGCATTGATTAAGTTAAGAAAGCAGAACTTGTACTTAACCAAGTCATAAGTAAAACGCAATATAACATTAAGTAAATAATCTTTCTCAAATATCCTTTCTGATTCAACAGTTAGACTATGTATATGATAACTTTGTAGTGGCTGTGCTTCGTTGACCAATCACCCTCGTAACCGTTATCGTATAAACCCCAACGGTAGTTGAAATCAGAAGGCAAAGAGAAGCAGCTACTACAGTTTTATTAACAGGCAACTCAAACCACAGAGCAGAGAGGCGAATGAGTCAGCGAACCTTGATTGCGTGAGAATGTGTGGAAAATGTGTAGTGTTAAGTATACATGTATATATATAGAAAAATGAATGGACTATCGAATCGATTAAGCGAATAATAATAAGGTTAGTGGGATGAATATATGCATGGGCAGTCAACAATATTCAAGCATGCTTATTCATACAAGCATAACAATAATAAAGGTAGAATAAGTTGTTAAAGTACAGATAACCTTGTCCGTTGAATAGGTTAACAAAAGGGCTTAAACGAATTAGATGAAGGCAAACTCAATTGAACGTGAGTTGCTATATCCTTAAGTGTTTCAAACTCTCATACTACATATCTACTAGGGTTAATGTTGCAGGAGAAAATTCGTTATTATACTTCAAACGTGTTATCTCAATTCAGTTGTACTTTCCTTCAAGTATTGTAATACGTGTTAGTCAATACACTCATTTGTTTATCTTGTCTAATCTTATTGTTTCATTGTAATTTAGTCGACGTTATATCACGGTCTTACTTTTTTTTTTTCAAGCGACATCATGACCCCATTAATACACTAATACTTCATATTTTAATTGGTTAAAATTAATCAGAACTTTTCTCCACATTTTATTTATGGTATAATTAAATTTCATTTTAGATTACGCTGGATCATTTGAAGAATTACGTGCCAAGTCAATACATCGTATTTTAACATATGATCTACCACAATATTTTGCACTTATTACACGTATCAAGCAAGAATTAATTTTAATTGGTCCAGAAGGTGGTACATTAACATCTACAGTTGTACCTGACGTACATGTTCGTTTTCCCCAAGGTGCTTTACAAAAACGTATACGTGTTGGTTTACAAGTACATCCAGTTGATCATGAACTTGTAACAAGAATGCTTGGTCCACGTGTCTCTGTGTCACCGATTGTAACAATTGAACCACGCAGGCGTAAATTTCATAAACCAATTACCCTGACTATACCATTACCAAAAACAGCTATGTCAACCTCTAGCGGTGTTGTTGACACTAAATCTCGTTCAACTATCGATTCACCTAGTCTTCGATTACTATGTTCGATTACGGGTGGGACATCACCAGCTGTTTGGGAGGATATAACTGGTAGTTCTCCGTTATCTGCACACGATCTTTCTGTTTCATTTACATCTACAGTATCTGCAAGGTAACTGAAATAATTTATTCATCTACTCAATAATTTATTGCCTATTTTACCAATATAACGGTGCATATTACCATGATTTTGTACTGTCCAGTAAGAGTTGTAAACTAATTGTCTAGGTTTGTCCGCCACATTCTATTTTGAGATGTGGTGGCTTGATAGTTTTAGCACTTGTGTTTCAAATCACAGTCGGTATCTTCAACTCTACGAACAAGATTATTACAAATAAAATTCACATTATTTAAACCTTGGAAGTAAGTTTTATTATTATTAATATTGGTAGTATAGTGGATGAAGACTTGATGGGGACAACCCATTATTTAATACAAAACTACAGAGTTCTTTCACAAAATGTGACAAACCATATATTATATACTTCATTTGTAAATCTTCTATCAATTGTCTCAAACTCCATCGTTCCTTCATTGCTATCGCAATTACTCTCTGTTTACATTCCCGTTCCCTTGAATTCGATCTTCTCACCGATCTACTGCCAGGCATTCCACTTCTGATTGGTGTTACATACTACTTATGTTTGTCGACATAACCAGCATGCGTCACATTAGTAGATTACAATTTTTGAAATTTATCTTTCTGATCTCGTTCAAGTACTCATGGTAGTGTTGTTAGCTTCTGTCAATTGACATATATGGCTTTTAACAACTCATGTGTATTCACCGTCTTGATAACTTTTTTTGGAGAACGATTAATTGATCATCACTACATTTCTAATTGATTTTTAAAATACATTAATTAAAGTTTTACACGCCTACTTTGTTATCCACAACTATAATTATTAACGTATTTTTTTCAAAGAGAGATTTTTATGATTTATTCATCTTGTGTTACTGGAGGCAACGTGTGATCTCAGCTACTATGTGTTTCTTTTTTTTTTAAAAAAAAACAGATTATGGCTCGTAGATTGTCCTAATATTACTGAAGTTGTTGAATTAGCCAGTCGTGTTTATCATGAATCATTAGCAGTGCCTTATATTGGGCAATTTATAGTGTATGCTCGTAGATTTCATCCTGAAGAAGCTCAATTACGTTGTCTTTGCCTTACTGATGATTCGGCAGAGAAAACACTTGAACTACAAGAAGGATTTCAACTAATAGCCACCGGACCATGTATTGAGGTAAATGACTGGATGAAATTTGATATCTAAATAAACTTTTTTTATGTATTTGAATATTTTGAATGCTTATTAGTTGATTAATTGTTTTGTTATTACTACTATTCATTTTTTTGACATTATTCTTTATAATAGGTTCTTGATGATCATCCACATTGGATTGAAACAGCTGGTAACTTAGTACCTGTTGCTAAAACTGAAGAACAATTACAATTGGGAATGCATGCGTTCCGTGAGAATCGTTTGAATATGATTGTACGTGTGAAAGATTTATCACAACCGGCTGTTGGAAAATTAGCGTTTATGCGTCATCCTCGAGCTGTACTACAATCTGCTGGGTAAATGAATTGTTGTTTAATTTCGTTCAATGCACAAATTAGTATTTCTCTCTGGAAATCACCATGTTTTTAACTTGCGATTTTATTGCTTGCAAATTAGCCATCTTTATAGTTTCTTGCATTAATATATAATTTATCCTCTTCAATTCATTAACATAAGTAAAACACATTTAGCATGTGCTCCATGATTAATTAGTTAGTAATAAATACTGTAAGCAAGATTTAAATGAAATCTAGACCATCTATAAATTTAGAAATTCCTGTGTTGTCTTCATACATTCTTGTATATTTTCCAGTACTATGACATATCATAAAAGATTATAGCTGTTCTCGGACATGAACTAATCAAAACTTGTTGTTCAGTGATTCCTGTGGAAATTATTTCATTTTTATCTATTTTTGATACTGCAAATAGCACACGATGAGTCCTGGCGATGGAAATCGGGATTTAAAAATAGACCTTAACTTCATTCTGAACCGTTGCATAAGTATTGTCGATATCAGTTTACGACTACCAAATTATTTCTATGGGTGTAGTTTTCAAAACCAAGTCTGTTTTTTTCTGGATAGTGATTATAACACACCGAAAAATATTTTTAAAATTTTTTTAGGTAAATAAAAGTTACGAGAATTCAGCGAAGAACGTTTTCTTTTCGACCAAATCACTTACTCAAGCTGTACATTCGTATTTGTACTTGTTTGGTAAATATCTGTCTATAGAACGACAGACAAGATTGCATCATAACCTAGTTTGAGACTTCAAATATTAAATGAGATTGCGTAATAATCACGGGGTTATAGAAATATGAAAATGATCTACGGGTCTATATTATGAAAGATAATTGTGACCCCCTAAGAAAACCACCTGTTTCGGTTTGAATACCCGGAGAGTATTTAATTCCTTACACAAATCAAATGATTTGTGCGGGGCATATATTATTTTGGGTTTCCTTGTATCAATGTTTATGTGTTTAAATAAATAAATAATCCACTCATTTACTGAGGAGTTAACGCTAGTTCTATATTCCGCTGTTAGCCACCATCCATCTTTGCTCATAATCATGAACAATATTTGAAGGTTAAGAATAACCGATTACGGTTTGAAATTATAAGACAATTAATTAATAAAGAAACAATCCCAAGACATACTGCAGAACGGAATTAGAGCTAAGGATGGATGATATGTTGAACGTATCGCTTTTGCATGCCAGATTTCAGGCTTAAATTGGTGTATCCCCAACACCTGGTCAGTTCACAAGTTTTGATCCGACCTTCGTTCGATCCAGTTCCTTTGATTGATAGACTATTTTGCATTATAAAATATAAAATTATTCACTTGAGAATTTTCAGAGAATCATCTTGACTATTTTTGTAAAAAGGATTTTCCAGTCGTACCACATTCTCATTCTTTATTATTTGTCATTATCATTTCTGCTACTATTATTTTGACCTATTTCGCTATTTTATCTTATCTCGTGCTATTGTGATTTGGAGACTTAGACCAACGCATATCTATGTCATTCTTTACTTTGTCTATGAGTAACCATTATTGTGCATAAGAATCGCTTTTTATTGTCATTTCTCTTCAACATTAATATCATTTATGAATGTATTTTTTTCTAGTTTATGTGTTTATTCTAACTAACTAGTTGTATCTAGTTTCGATGGGAATCATGTATTTTCCCCTTTCTTTGTATGCATGTGCGTATGTGATTTCATGGCTTTATTTTGTAGACTTTTAAACGTTTGATTATATGAATGCTTGATCGATGTCATTGTTTATCAAAGAGAGCTGGTTTGATTTTCTTAATATCTATCAAGTAAACTGCAATTTCTTAACTCCATTCTTATATATTTCTGATCAATTTTCTTTTTATTATCTACTAAATAATATGTTTTCGGTTATAGTTTTCATACATTTAAATGTAATTTGAATTGAATCTGATAGTAAGTCATAAGTTCTGTATGACGTTTTGTTACAACGAGTAATAAATCTAGTCTGAACACCAATATGGTGATTTCTGTGTCAACTTAATGTATTACACATATACTTGTAAAGTGATGTCTCATTAATCAGGGGGTTTGATTCGCAGCCACCAAGTAACGAGTTTGAGCTCCGCTCTACCTACTTTGGTTTAGACGACTGGATGGTATTCGGCTTTTACCCGAATACACGAGTCTACCTGATAAATTCATAAATGATAATTTGACACTGTTTCGACGGCCTTTTAGTTTCATCCTTCATCTGTTCATAGTTTGCTCACATTTGTATACTTATTCATACAAATGTTTTATTTTTTTTCTTCTGTTAATTTATTATTTTACACATTTGTATTTAAATTTATTTTATTCATACATAGCTCACCTGTAAAACCGGCAACAGTTCTAGAAGCTAAATTACCAGACGAATTTACTGATTACATGACTGGTGGTTTATTAAAAACAACTGATATTGATGATATGCCATCTTATATTCCAGAATATAATCAAAATGGTGATCAATACACCACATACAATGAATCGTTGCCGCAAACATGGTCAAAACAAGGTGAGTACTAATGTAAGGTTTCTTTCCTGATCGTATTATCTTATTGTTGTTTCAAGATTATCCTAGAAACAACATATTGATGTTGAGTAATGCGTTATTGATTGTATTATTACTACCATTATTTTGACTTATTTGCTATACAGATCGGGGTGATCTACATTTATGCTGATGGATGATAACTAATTTACTAACTCATTGGCTTTTCCGAAACAGTGTTCGATTTAATTGTCGTAAATTAGGGGGATTTATGTTGACTTCCATAATCATAGTTGATCAAATGTATTTGGTGTTTTTTGTCAACACTCAATTCAGCATATCAGAAAGTATAAAGAATTTTAAATAATTCAAATTAAGATCTATTATTTTTGTAACCAATTATTGTTATTTCTAGCTGTTATGTGATTTAACTGTCTATAAAATTGAAATTATTACTGCTGCTGTAAATATGGGAAATAAATATCTGACAGTCACATTTCTAAGCTGCAGGGTATTGTCAGTTGACTATTCTAATCATTATTGGTTAATATTCACTGAAATTTACATTAAAAATGAACATAACAACGAATTAGCAATATATTATCTACTTATCTTAAAAGTTCTTGGAATATAATTCACAATATGCATTGCTTGGATTATTTTTTTTATATTCCCAAACTTAATGAATTTTGATTCAGACAATATCGAGGCAATCTACACAGGATGCACAGATGCCAATATGAGACTGATCAATCCCAGTTCTGAACATCGATGAGAAGAATCAAACAGCCGATACAAAAAATGAATTAAAACTTCACCTTATTGCACAAGCTAGTGGTTATTTGAACTCAGTTCTAAATGAATAACGTGATGGCATTTGAATCTAACTATACTGGGCTCGAGTCTCGGAGTAGTCATCAACTCTGGGATGTAGGTACATCTAGCCGATAACGAGTCCCAATTAGGACGAAACACGCGTCCTGGATTCCATTACCACCCACCATCCATCTTTGCTTTTAATTATTTTTTCTTTAGAAATAGAATAAAAACTTTGTTTTATAGGAGAATAAATATGAGAACTAACTTGGTCATTGAAAAACATCCACTACATTAGGCTTATCACTCTACAGATTTGAATGCGAATGTTATCATAATTTCCAAATGAGTCAACCAGCTGGATAATCTACTTCATAGATTTACTACAAAATATCCATGTGTAAACTTTTGTATCATATATCTTTAACCTTATACATGTTCACTAGTAATGAGAAAAAAAAGTTGAAAGATAAGTGGGTGAGTAGTATAAAATTAATTACCTATTATAGGATAGACTATTCTCATATTCTACTACACAAAGTTTGTAAGCTTATAGATATTCTTGATAATAATGTAAATGTGTATATTATAATAAATTTCTTATGATTTATGGCACGGCAGTCTAGTGGTATAGTCACTTGGTTTCTGAATGCTCAGACTCTGCCCTACGCATTATAGGTTGAACAGTCGATTGATATCAATCAATTATTACATATTACAAGATTATAATTCCAAGCTATGTACTCAAATTTGTATTTGTTTTACAGTAAATCAGCTTTTATTCATCTCTTGCTTTAAATAAGTAGATCATTACGATGAACCATTAGCTAAATCTGAGCTTGATTTACGACAAGTTGCTTATCATTTAAAATCAGATTGGAGAATATTAGCTCAATGTTTAGGCTTGTCTGATGAAGATCAATATAATATTACTTCTTTGCCTAATCGTCCTGAAGAAGAATATGCGTATACTAGTTTATTGTTGTGGCAAGAACGTAATGGGAATGAATTAACTTCGGGTAAGAAATTAAACAAAATATGTGTTTTTTTTGTATGATGTACGTTTATATAAGTAGAACTGTATTTTAATGACTAATTTGCTTGACTTTCATATAGAAATTTACAAATTAAGATCCCACTCTCCATGTGATTCAGTTTGAGTCACTTAGTTCCCGTGGTTGGTTGAAGTGACACAACTTATCGACAAAATACTTAACATAACAATAGACATAATTATGATCACTCTCAAAGCATCACTAACGATTGCATGATATGAATTTTATAGACCATTTAAGATACCTAATTTATCGTGAGACTTGAATTGTTGTCTACCATATCGTGAATCCGATTTCGTACTTTTTAGTATATATATATACAATTGGATTAACGTAAATTCAATTATAAGAAACACAGAACAGGATGAAATGCACGTCCTGGATTTCATTACCAATAACAATACAGAAATATGATTGTTCTTACTTTCACAACACAACGGTTATATGATGTAGCAGCTATTCAGTAATTTATTTCAAATAATATCCAGCTTATTTTGTGAATGTATGTAAAGTAAAAATAAACTGTTATCCGATAAGTGTTACTGTAATAGGGACGGATTATTCGATATAGTAAGTTAAATTTTCTGTTATAATCACCCAAATAACTAATTATCGTAATTTCGAGACAAATTTCACACAGGTTTTGTGGAATGTGTGTTATGGCTTGTGTGTTTAACCAGATCCATCGTTAATAAGCTATTACCGAAAAGATAGTACGAGCATCACGTTACATCGTGGATTGACTCGGGTAAAAAACGTGTCCCATTGGATTTCAGTTCAGTAATAGTATGGAAGCATTGCAGTGATCGTAAGATCTTGAGAGTCTGACAAGTGTATACCTAGCTTTAGTTGAATTTCATGTTTTCTGTTGATTTTATAAGCAAGTATCATTATTATTATTTTCTAAAAATAAATATTGGTACAAAGAGGCACCAAATAGATATGCGCCACATAAATCATTCGATTTGTGTGAGGACTGGGATACTGCCAGGGTGCCCAAATCGAAGCAAGTGGTTTTCTCAAGGGCCAATACCACGAGCCTCTGACCTAAAAGTCTAATTCACAAGGCAGTGGAGCAACGTAAGTAGATGCAGTCTCATGGTTGCCGGTGACCAACAATAGGTTCATACGCCATTGGTTCCTTCAGGAACTTGAAGCCCATGTGCATCATCGGTTTGAAATCAAGGTTTCCAACTCCCCTAGGTGGATCCTCTGTGTCCACCAAACTGGTCAAGCTGCCGGATATTTGCTTTTCGTCCTCTCAATTTCGTAAACAACGTCCTAGCCGCGAGAAGGCAGTGAATAGGACTTCCCTGGCAGTTGTTGTATGCACGTAGCCATGTGAGAGCATTTCAAGAGGAAGAGCTGATTCTCCCTACTCTCAACCGTATCGAGCCATTCGGGTTCTAACGTATATACATATCATTGTAAATAAATTTCTACTATTTTATCTCTTCCTAGGTACGCAACTTGCCGAAGCACTACAAGCTATCGGTCGTAAAGATATATTGGAATATTGTATGACCAACATTTCGCCTGTAATAACAGCTGATGAACGGGTTACTGCTTTACGTTCATTGAATGGTAATTTGTTGCATTTTGAGGTTATTTTCTTTGACATATTTTAGTTGAGGCAAGAAATAATTTCAGTCCCTTAGTATATTTTTTATTATTTAAAATATTAACTGGTTTAAACAGTTGTTTTAAAAACTGAAGACGAATTGTCGAAGCATTCAAGCGAAATTCTGTGATATAAACCAAGAGGTCGTATATTTAATACCAACAAGCACTCATATGAATAAACAAAAAATGTTTCATTTAGAACTAACAGTGACGTGAATACCCTTTAATTTACATGTTTCAGACTAAAGATTTTTTCTTTGGGGGTGTCACTATTACTATTATTATTATTATTATTATCATTATTATTATTATTATTAGCAGTCAAATCCAAGTATATTTTAAACGTTTTGTCAGATATTTGTACGAACATTTGCAAAGTGCTCTGTTGCCATTGTTACATTCTAAGTGATTTGACGATATCAATAGTTTTCTTGATTTTTTATGAAAATATGCATCTCATGTTAGACGGATAATTAATATAATTTGTATAGATTGTGCTGTGAAACAGTTCCTATTTACTGAAAAATGTGTATCAACTCCTTAGGATAATGAAACTGAGAAAATCGAATCAAAATGACGTTCAATAAAAAGTGAAATGATACTAATGAATTTCCTCATGTAAATTTGAAGTGGATCAACTCGTATACGAGCATAACTAATTCTAAAGGATTAGATACACTATGAGTGACCGCGAAATGAGTCATGTTTTGTTCAGTTCGAAGGCGCGTCGATATGTACTCTCTAGAAATTCTGAGTGTTATCAATGAAACGAAACATAGTATCAGCTAGTAATGTGTATATATAATTTAACCATTGCAATTTATTTATTGTTGCTATTTTCACTTTTATTTTGAATAGCCGTTTCGCCCAATTTAAATATTAATCGTGAAAATCGATCTCATTCAAAAGATGGCAGTGGTGGTCTAAGTGAATCAGTTGATACAGGTTATGGCACACAGACCGGATCTACCACATTAATACCAACAACACCAGTGATTACAAAGACAATTTCATCAACAATTCATACACTACCCACTTCAAACAATGTAGATAATTCTAAACAATCTGAGAAAGAAGTGGAACAAGAAATAATACAACCAGTTACTGTGACCACTGGTCGAATTTATTCAGGGTCATTACCGTATGTGGGAAAATCCATTATTGATGTTCCCGAAGACAAATATGATGTATTAAAAGGAGTTGAAAATATTCTGGCCGATAGTCAATATTCATCGACTATAGAAGATGATAAAATAAATTCCACTTCTACTGGACGTGAGTTGTTTTTATTCATTACAGAGTATCTATATTCATTAGTAATAGAGTTTAGCGCATTGTTTCTGTTTTTCATTTGTAAGTTGCAATATAATTATTTTACTGAAGCTAATTCTTGCCATAACTGGTTACTATCATTCGTGGAACTATTTCAACTGGGAAGCAGTCAATGATGTGCAAATAATGTATTTAATGTATGATTTTCATATTTTACTAAGCTACTGTGTGATTTTTCGTTAAAACAATAAATTGGTTTTTACCCACTGGTCTGCTTTGTTCATAACACCAGTAGTGATAAGAATAATAAAACATGAAAAGTTATAATCAATAGCTCAACTGAGGTAGTAGGTCAAATTTAGTTAAACTTTAAAACAATAATGATAATCCACATATTATGTACTACGAGTTATTGTTTCGATTTCGACTTATTTATTTACACCAGCCACTACTTCAATTTCTCACCTATTTAACAATAACTACTTTTTATATGAATGCACTGATTCTTCATTAATCAGTAATCGGCTTATTTTAATGTCCTTCAGTTACTACACTTTTATATTAAGCAATTGGAGATAGTCGACAGCAACTTCGAACTTATTATAGGGTATACGTATGATATGATTTGCAAAGTTAAAACGGTAAACATTTTTCCCAAGTTCAACATTGATCATCAGTACTCTCAAGATTTGACGTATGCCTCACTGACAAATGCCAACTATCATGAATGTACCGACTATCTTCAATCATTTAACATCAAAATATAGTGGATTTGATGTCAAGTTACTTGGATTGATGGACATTGCAATTTGATCGATGGAATCCGATCAACACTAAAGGACTGGAATGGCCACTACTCATTGACCGATCGATTGTAAATATAACAGTTCTAAAGAATTTGACTCCCTCATGGTTACAAATACAGTTTTCTGATGATTTTCAACTCACACGAAACCTAAATCCAGGTTTACCTGTCGATTATCTCTGACTACAACATCTGAAGACAGTTATTATTATGTATTGACTTTATTCAGTTCAAGAACAGTTGAAAATAAGGCAGCAGTAGATAAATTTTTCTTCCTGGTTTTAGATCAGAGATGAAGAATGTAGATTATTGAGTGTCAGTCCAATGATTTGAATGCTTTTCCTCCTAAGCTACGGTAAAACACTTTGATACTGTTACTCAGCTTCAGCCGAAGTTGCACAACATAATCACTTACAGTTAGACTGTTTGCAACACAAAAAACGGTTGCATAGTAAAAGTTTGTAATGACAATGGTGGTACATTTAAAAATAATTGAAATTTCAGTTTGATTCTAGATGAACAATGATTGAAAACTGTAGATAAGAGAGTTCACCCTTAATAATAGTAATAGTAATAATAATAATAAGACTATTATTATTATTGTAAATTTATTCAGTCATATGTAGTTCTACAACATCGACCGACTTTGTTATGAGATAACAATTGAAAACTAGAAACCACTGGAGGCAATTGTTCCGCGTATTTTTGTTGTTCACTTTTCTTATTAACGCGTCAAATGCCTTTAGCTTCTTCTTCCTCATCTGAATGGAGTTTATATTTCTAAAAACTTGTTTTTGTTTTCACTATAGCTCCAGTCAAGGAAGAAATAGTTGTCCCTACTCAAAGTAATCGCACTGTTCAACTAAATCGTACAGACGATACAATTAATAGTAGTAATAGTATTCATAAACAAATTGAAAAAGATAGTGATTTATCAAACATTTATCCAGATGGTAAGTAACCCTTTGAATAGATATAGGCACACCGGCATTGATGGATTGTCATGTTCATCATTCATAATGATGTGAGGTCTGTAGTTATAATTGTGTTTTATATCTTTATAATTGAGTGTTGTCTTATCAATTGCTATTTCTACCGTTTTATTCTTTTTTTCTTTATTTATTTGTGCCTCATTAGATCTAAGAGTTTTACTGTTAATTTGAAACGCGGTAGTTTAATTTAATCACTGCAAACTTCGACTTATAACTTACTATCCAACCGCGCTTTTAAACTCTATCTATTTCAGTTTGAACATCTGAATAACCTTGACACTTAGAAAGTTGTTTATATACACATTGATATTACAGTCCAATAAATGAATTACAATAATTTGTAGCTCATATTTTGATCAGCTAATAATGTTTCCATAAATAATGATAATATTTCAATTAAGTCCAATAAAGCCAGTTATTAATCTATTATAAAACTTGATGTAGTACCAAACGAATGTTTCTGTAAATAATTTTAACTCATTCACCAAGGAGATATTCATTAAGTCTAGGCTTTGAACGACACCTTATATGCATTTGTGTGTGAGCTAGGGATATTTCATGGCTGTTCAAATCCAAGTAGGTGGAACAGTGTTTGAACTTGTACGACTTTTCGTCACTCTTTGATCCATTAATTCAACAATCTGTAAACATATTATCATATTCCTTTTTATTGATATATACATGATCATTTTACATTTAATTATTCATTATTATTTGCTCACTACCAGACACAGATTCGTGTAACTGGCTTAAAGCCACGCTTTAAGCTTAAGAGCTAGAGTAAACCGAGATTCGAATCTGCGACTTAAGAGTAGCCTAAAATCAAACGTCTTCATCATTAAGCCATAGCTTCACTTTTACATACCACAGGTTAATTCTTCGATCAGCACTCAGTCGACTAGACGAACATGACACTTGTCACTACTACTAGGTGATCAATCAGTTTAAACATGTTAATTCTCTAGAGAAGGTGGTCAGTTATAGCCCACATAGATCATTTATAACATCTCTTTCTCTCTGTGACCCTGAGTGACACAGATGAAACGTTCTTGAAGAACATCAGTTATATGACTTAGTTTCCGATACACTTGATTGTATGACTAGTGTCAACCTAAGTCTAAGTCAGCTTCTTATTGATAATTACTCCAAACATGTCTAAGAGACCAATATCGCTCTCTCTTCGATATCACTACGTAAACTCATTTAAATTTTCGCACATACACACGCACGCATATTTCATATTTGTAGTAATGTTACATAACAACATTTACATCATTATATGAATCCTACAAACAATCTCAATAGAAACGTATATTTCTTACTTGTGTCTACTGAATAGAGGGAAAAAATCTAGTTTTTTTTCGCGAATTATCAATGAACTTGACATTTGAAGAGAAAACATTTTCACATCATTTCGTATTGAACTGTTCTTAATTATTATATAAATGCCACAATATAACTTTATTCTATGTGTATACTCTTCTTTTTACACACATATCATACATTTTGTTCGACTTTATTTTTCTAATAAATATGAATCAAAACTGTCAATAAATTAGGTGAGTGGGTTTTTCCGGTTTTCATTCGTTCTATATATTAGATATGATTGTTTGTCTTTAGTTTCTATTCAGTTAAAAGATACAAATCAAGACATTTTTTATTTGAGATTTCATTTAAATTACATATAATACATGATTTATTTATATATGTATATACACGCATATTTTTTTTCTTGCTATAAGCAATATTTCATTAGTGTAAACGGTTATTTTGTTTAGTTTGTTTGTTTTTTGCTCATTTTTATTTACGGTTAGAAATGTTTAGATGAATTAGATTTTTTGACTAACAAAGTTGTTAATGTATAAGGATTAATCGATAATTTTCTTATATACATGTATACGTCTGTTTGTGTTAAATCTTGCTCCATACACAACTATATATAAATATATGGTTTATTCATCATTTTCAAAAATTTTCTTTATCACCACTGTTATTGTCGTCATTGCTCTTCTCATCATGATATGTGTATTACAACGGAACAATTGTTTAATTAGTTGAGTGTAAGAAAATACCTTGGATCTCAACTACATGTTAATCGATTTGTCAATATTTTCCTGTAGGGGTGTGTTTGCCCACATGTTTGTTTGTAATCATATTACACTGTTAAATTTATATATTTCAAGTTTTGCACATATACTCCTATACGTGCATATATATCTATCTATTTATTTATATATGTATACACCTTTATACTCATAAATACATCGTCCGGCGATGGTGTCTATTTGCTATGGATTCATATTCAATACAGTTCAAATGATCAAAGCACTTATATATATTCACATATAACATATATATCTACATATATTTCGACTGTTGACCATTGTTCGTGGTGTTGCTAACACGTTTGCTAGGCAAGTTTAATTGTTTTCATTAATTTTTTTGTTATAGATTGTTGTAACTTAATTATATATCTTTTTTTTCAATGCATGTGTGTATTTGGTGATATTTTATTTACTATGCAAAACAAGTTTTTGTGCGTGTGTTCACTTATTCTAATTTTACAAAACATAGCACTTTATTTTATGCGTACATGTGAGTGATTGAGTGCGTGGAGTATTTAAGTAGCGCTATCTAAATTTTTTTATTGACAAATATTATAATATGAGCGTTTGTTTATTTAACAGAGCCCTGTAGACTGCCTTATTTTTTATCGATAATGCTAATTGATAGGTCAATGAACCTACATCGATAGAATATTTTCTATTTCATGAAGTTTAAGGGATTTGATTTTAATATTTTGTTAGATCATCAGTGAGTTTTCCAAATCTCAAAAGATTACATATCTGGGATTCGGACTTCAAAGATTTGAGTTGTAACCTTCCTTCTCTGTACTATGGTGACTTTCAATTATCAATATAAACTCATTTCAAGTACTTAAATGAACTCAGTAAATCAAATTAATTGGACTCCTAAAAAAATACCAACTTAAGTAAAGCGCCGTGTTATGTCTTTTGCCCCTGTTAATTATCATGTGATAAAATCGCCAATCAGAATGCCGACTTATATGACCTTATTCTTGTGCGAAAGCAGTGACACGTCAAACTGTTGTGATTGGTCGGTCGCTAATTGTTATGTCGGGATCACTTATAACGTATACTTATGTTTATGGATGCCTTCCAGGAAAAACCCAAAACAGGGAAGGTAGTTAACGTGGGGAAGGAAACGGACTTCGTTATGCCATTTCAAGCATGCAAGGATGTCGATTAGAAATGGAAGATGCTCATGTAGCGAAGTCCGAACTTCCCAGTTCTTTCCAATACTGGTCGTATTCCGGAGTATTTGATGGCCATGCATGATCTCGCATTTCAGCGCTTTGTGCAGCCAAGTTGCTAGATAAACAGAAGAATTTCAGAAGCTTAGTTTTGGTAAAGAGCTTGATACAGCTTTAGTCAAGAAATGCATCATTAATGGAATTTTAGCATTCGACCGAGGTCACGAACATATCCAACTCACCAATCAGCATTCAGTGCATCCCCGTCGCTAATTGTTATGTCGGAATCACTTATCATGTATACTTGTAAAGCGAGGAATCACTGAGATTTCCACAACATGAACGTATGGATACAAAGACTGATACAAATGAAGATTTATTAACCCCAAAACATGACGATGACGACGACCATAGTCGAAAATACACTCATTTATATATATTGGTTTGTACACCCATTTTTGATTGATAATTAGGATAATATCACATACATGAAAAATACTCATAGTTATGACAAGATCATATGCTGCATGTTATGCTGAGTATAATTCATGTCAGTTTTGAATACAAGGATATCATATGTTATTACATAATAAATTATCATACAGGAAAACAGAAACAAATACTATATTAAGTAATCATTACATTGAATTAAAACGGAAGTAATGTTGAATAAAAATCATAATGACTTTTCATATCGTCACATAGCAAGCAGCTCTAGTAACCTTGTGTCAAAACAGAATCCTTATTCGTCCTTCTCGCCTAGCCCTGCCCATTGAGTCCAGAAAGCAAACTCAGCTTCCACTGTATGAATCGTATATTTTAGACATACGCAGTTTGTGTACAAGGAAGCCAGTCGTCGTCACACAATTAAATAAAATAATTATTATTATACAAGATCAGTCCAAAAGTGGCTATGAGTATGAGAGGCTGTAACTTATTGATTGGGAATAACTTAGAATTAGTAAATCGTATTGGAGTAGCCAATATGTCAAATAGCAATATATGTAATAATGGTCCATAAATAATTCCTAATGGTTACCATTTATTTATTCTTTTCGGATGTAACACCCCATGTTAATAGTTACATTTAATTGATTAATCACATCAAATATACATTGTATGTTCAATGCATGTGTTAATTGAGTTACATCAAATTTTCATGAAACTTGCGATAAAGTCGAAATGTTTAAGATGATAATACTTTAAAGAAACAACCGTCTTCAGAGTAATCATAGTGAACTGAATTCTGATGTACATCAAGTCAACATGTATTTCATATCATCAATAGTCTGATGAAAAAAATTTAATCTTTAGCCTACATATAAATCAAATACTATTTGGAGTTCCTTTTTCTCCAAAACTCTACAGTCATTCATTTAATAGCTATTGAGAATTAATTATAAATTCATTGTCAACATTTCATTTCTACGTAATTTTTGGCACAAGTTAAAAACTTCAATCCATCTTATCGATTTACAGGCCTGTCTGTATTCTTTTAACTGATTAATTTAGTAGATCTCTTTATATTTCTTTCTATTGTTAATTTCTTGACTTTTTCTTCTTTTTTCAGTCTCCAGTGATGTGGAATCAGATTTATCACAGGCTACAGAAAAACACATTTTCATTAAACAGCACAAACAGTTATTCAGTGATTCATTATCTCATCCTAACTGTGAGAAATTGACTGACAATATACAGTCGATAGTAAATAAATCACTCGTTGATAAGACAGATAGTGAACAAGCCCCAGATGATCATCATTTTGAATCATGTGAACAAGAGATTTGTGCACATCACTATCAAAGATGTGGTGAACTTGAAGCGACATGGGGTAAAGGTGCAGATCAAGATGTTCCATCTTGCGAAACTAGTGGATTTCATGTAGATAAAACACATGAAAAACAAGTTTGTAAAACCGTATTAGATGGATCAAATGAAGAGAATATTTGTGCATATCACTATCAAAGATGTGGTGAACTTGAAGCTACATGGGGTAAAGGTGTTGATAGTGATGTACCACTTGTTAGTACTACTAGCAAAGTACAAACTAGTGAAAAACATGAAGAAATGTTGTCGATCGCACCGGGTATTGTACTATCTGAGCAGTCAACATGCACACATCAGTTGTCTGACGAAACCGAAACGACATCAAGTAAACCTAAACCAGCAAATATATTTTCGATTGAAGATACAATGCAGCAACCATCATCATCATCGTCACAAGAGAATTTAACAAAAACAACTATCATTTCAAAACACACAAAATCAAATAAAGGTGAAATAAAATAGAAATTATCTTCTGTATGTGTATGTATGACATCGAAGTACAGTTATGCAAAGAACTCGTGTAGACTGTATGAATACACTTGTTGAGCTTATGTTTGTTTGTTTCTCCGTTTTTTTTTTCTATTTAAAAGACTTAATTCTATTCTTTCTAACTTAGTCTAATTAAAAATTTAGTTACTTTCTTTTACTGTTGCTTGGTTGATAGCTTGCTAAACTGCATGAAATGATGAGACACTCACTGATCTTGATCTGTGGTATGGAAATTAAAACTCTAATAAGCATATATATGCTTTTGTGAACAAAACACGTCTAGGTAATAGGGTTTTTATTATTGAAGATCATTGGCTGTTTCTTGTTAAAATGGTATCTGACATAAATATATATTTATAGTTTGTTCATTTCATTTCACACATTTTATTTGAACTTAAGATCTATTGCAAGTCTTAGTTTTAAATTTTACTAAACCTACTTCACTTTGGGGAAACTAGGCAGAGTATCACTAACCATCATACTTAAATTTCGATTCAAAGCCGAATACATCAACACTTGTACTTAATAAAAGGAATAAGTTATATCCTGTGGTCATGTTATTGCATATTTTGTGTATCTTGATAGAATTAACACTCGGTATCTTTTATCATGTATTCTATAGAGTTTGTTTAATTCCGATGTTTCAATAACTTGCTGTTGATTGAAAGAAAATGTTTATTTAACTAGTGACATCATGAGCTTGTGCGATCGTTTGTTTCTTTTGGGTTTTTTTTACATTTAAGAAATTCGGTTTATTCTACAACAACTTCAATGACATATAAAAATAAACTGATCATATCATTACACAATAAGTCAGTGTTAGTAGCCTTTATTCATAGTATATGAACTCGACAACAAAATAGACTATATCTTAATATTTAAATTATATGAATTGAAGTTCATTATTTGTATAACTATTCTCTTGTAAGCGATTGTGTAATTTTTCGATAGTGTTCATCTCATGAGACAACCTTCTACTAGGTTTTTTTTAATTTATTGCGAACTAACTGGAATACCAATGAAAACCAGGCCAAATATTAAACAGCTGTTCCTTCTTATTTTGAGACCCCTCAGAGGTCCTTATCGTTTTTGATAAAATCTATCATTGTTGTATTGTTATACACCGACTTACTATGGTCTAAAAGTATCGTTTGGTTATTGTGAGACCTGAAGTTGTGGTTTCGATACCGTGTAACATCTCGTATATGTATGTCAATAGATAGCTCAGAAGTCTTACACTGAAGAATGAAACAACTATCTTTACTTTTCAATGGTTCGTATATATATATACTTAAAATTCAAAACATTATCTACATTAAAAAATTGTATACTAATGAGACTTTGTTTCTTCAATTTGGTTCATTGAAATTATATTAAATTACGTTTCACATTGAATCAATTATTTATATCACTTAGATAAATGTGATTAGAGTAGATGTGGTAATTAAATAAACTAACTACAAACTTTTCCATATTCCAATCAATTTTAATAGAAAATGTATGATGATATAAAACTTTAATTAATACAATAATGAATTATTATTATTATTACCCTTTCACCTGTGCAAAGTTTGATGCAAATTGTGGACAATTTTTTTGTAAACTCGTATAGATTTATATCAGCCTGAAAGAAAACTGAATTCTTGCTAGTGTAATACATACAACAATCTAAGCTGGAAATATGTTTACAAAAATAAACCACAAGAATTGAGATCCTAATTACATATGAAAGTGGATATATCTGTTCACTTTGTTTGTTTGTCCTTTTTCCATTCCTAAACCTGGTTCTTCATTAATATTAACATTTCAATGGCAAATAATCCAGTTTGTATGTATGTATGTGTATGTTAGTTTTTTTTCAGAAACACATTACAGATATCCATTTGAATTTGTGTTTTTTTAAATCCAATAATTGAATACAATCAAATGAAATCACTCTTGAAAATATTTCTTGTCTACTCGTATATATTTATCTGAAATTTATTGGATCATTTCAATATATATAATTGTAGCACTGATATCAAAAATGATTGAATCGACAACTATTTAAATGTTTCATGTGTTTTTTATAATATTTGAACTATAGTTTAGAACCCCACTGCACATATCAAGGTTTTGACAGTCATGCTTTAACTATTGGTTCTTACACCGTAAATATAGTTCATAGACTAGTATGAAAGCTAGTTCTAGCTTGTCAAGTGTCATTTTCATCATAGTTCAGCAAATGAATCTTAAAAGTGAGGAAACAATATATATTGACTTATATTAGTCTTTTATACTGACGTTCCGTCGTGGTCATATATATAATTGTATGGGGCACTACTTTGTTCAGTAAATACGCTGAGATCACAAGAAATTTATTCCCACACGATTTTGGCCTATCAATATTTATCCCTTCCAAAGTACTTCTCATTTATCTCATCTTCCAATTCATTGTTTAAGAATCCCTGGTAATTGTTAGGATCGTCAAGTACTTCATTATCTTGAATTGCGTACATAGATAACTTTCCTGAATCCAGTTTATAAACAATCGTCCAAATAGTAAATTTTTGACTGGAAGCACAAGTGATCATACATTCGATTTTCCATCAAAGACAGCTGACCTTGACTTTATCGTCCTCACATTCTTGATAGGTCGTACTGAAATGCTGTGTTCATTTAAAAAAGTGTCGTTTTCTTCAAATTGTTACCTTTATGAACATCTTATGAATTTGTTCAGCTGATATCTTAATATGATGATGTTATTTTAGTGATATACTCTAGAATTTTTAAGTCTGTTTAATTAAATGCAAACAACATTCTATCTTCAGTTTAAACTCGCATCAATTATTCAATATTCTAATCCTTTTTTTATTTTATTAGGGGTAATAGTTAACTTTTTTGACACTTTAACTCTCCGATTTTTATGTTGCTCGTGTCTAAAACTGTTTTTCTTTCTCTTTTCTTTCATCACTTTTTATGTTTGGATTTGGTTTTTTATACTACTCAAAACAAATACGACATCTAATCTCCCACCAATCCACAAATTTGCTGCCCACTTCACCTCTCCCAAATCGTTTTCGTCCATTCATACTACTGAACTATTCAATAATAACAATAACTAAACTACGACATTCGTAACCCCTAATCTTTTTTTTTGTTTCGAACTAACAAATAATCTTTCCATGCAATGTGTATGTGTGCTCAATGCATTTTTGTGTATCTATGCGGGCCTTCATTCATTTGCTACCCGTAACCCATTCGTCTTTACATCTGTCCTATATAATATACACTTTTGTTGTTGCTCTGATAACACCTTTTCGGCACACAAATTATGCTTTTTAACTCTGTCGTCACTGTATCTGCGTCTATATCTCTCATTTGTTCATCTATTTACTATGAGATCACTTATTCTTTTATTGTCTGTGTATATTCTCAACTTTTAACTAATATTTATTAGATGACAATATTATTCAAAGTAATATGGAAAAAGTCATAAAATCTAATCAGAATTATTATGATTACTCAGCTAAACTAGACGATGACATTTATGAATTTCCTGATAGAGTAATTGCAATACCGCAAATGGAACCCGTCGATTCGACAGAAATACTATTTGATGATACCTATTATAATAATATGTTAGGTGATTTACTACAGGGTCGTTCAATATTAGAACCATTGACACCTATACCAGAAACATCTGAATATTCGACAAGATCATCTGTAACTAGTATAAATCCATCGAAAAGTTGGCAAAGTAGTGACTTAAGTCCTTCGGATTCTATTGAAATTCGTCCTGGTGGTGTTATTGGTAGTGGTACTGTCACTAATGTATCACGTCGTCTGTTGCATCCATTTTTCCATTCAAATCGTACATCACATGAATCATTTAATTGTCCACAAAAATCATTCAAAAATCCAGCTCTATCTGTACATAGTATATCATCGATTCATTCTGAACCGGAACGTATTCGACGTTCATATGAAGCACATTCTATGGAATCTCCAGGTCAGGATTGTCATATGGATTTGTCCAGTTCATTACGTACACATAGTAGTCGTTCGTCATCGTTAGCAGAATTTTTACGTTTGGAAACATCTTGTGATGGCAGTCGTGGTGATCTGTGTATCGATGATGTTGATAATGACGATGATGATGATAAACGACTTTGTGAACATGATCAAAATTTACACGATCTTATTCAAAGTATACAAGAATTACAAAGACAACATTTAGATGAATCAACAGGTTTAATTACACCACCCAGTGGTGATGAGGATAGTTGTAATAGTCGCTTAGCTATTGGCTCCGATGATATTGATCGTCAAATAGGTGAATCAATTAGGAATGCAGAATTAGAATCATCGGTGTCATTATTATCCGCTTCCTCTTTACCACAAGTCAATACTACATCTAAATCAGAGATGCAACAATTACTACAACCAATATATATGAGTAGTTCTAGTTTAAACTCCTCGGCACTACAGCCATCACCACCATCCACAACAACAGCAAAATTGCCTGTGGGTATCATTTGTACAGTTAATCAGTATTTCTAATAATTAGTCTGTGACTGTTTATTCATCAATCTGTAAAATGCTTTAACTGTAAACTTTATGTGTTAGGCTAACAAACTGCTTGCTATTTATGGTTGTTGTAATGTTTGACCTATACATACTAATATGTTTAGTAACTTTTCTCTCGTTTCATTTTCTTCATCATGTAAGTACAGTAATTGTCTATATTGTGGTGTTTTTTAACAATCAGTATACGATTGTTTACATTGTTCCTACGATTTTTAATTTTTATCATCGACACTGCTTGAGTTCACAGTTGTATTTCTAGGTAGATATTCTGATTAAACTTCTTTGAAGTTCAGTGACGAACCCACTGGAACTTCTATACGTGTTAGCCGCTTCATACTAATTCAGGTTTTATTAGCTCATACTGGGAAATTTCAGTTCTACATTAGTAAGCACTTTATTGTTGAATCAAGTGGTGATAATTGACTCCGTGTATAAGACCATTATCATATTATCAACATAACCAAGTTTAACTGAGTAATCAATCCACGAATTTCCACTATTCCTCTTTGAAACTACCCAGTCAATGTTAATACTAGTAAAGTATCATTCAATATGAGAACGTATTAGGTGTCTTAAGATGCGTTAAGTTATAAACTAATTGGAAATATCTATCAATGACTGACTATCATACATTATTTTATGTACAAATAAGATCTATTTTCGATATCAATTACAAAAATAAATCTGGTTACCGGCTTTGATTTTATTTATTTTTATAAAGTTTATCACTATTTGTAACATTCTGCTGCTATGATTATCATTATTATTATTTGTCCCAATATGTCCAGTGAACTTGATACTAA